AAACGGTTGTTTTTTATCACGTGTGTTCAACCAAGAAATGTTTCAATAAAATATCAAGCGCAAACGCTTAAAACGATTGGCATTTTGTAACTCAGATCGTTCGAGTTATGATACGGTTTAGTGGCATAGGCATGTAACAGCAGTACTTTCAAACACTTCAAATAATAGTAACATAATATCTCTGCATTGAAATCGCAATCGTAAAAAAAAAAAATAATATGTAAAAGTACCAGGTTATATCGTTTCTAAATAGAGTTATTGCTTCTTATCTATATGCTTGTACCTATAGTTAGTTTGTTTGTTTTTTTTTTTTTTTTTAAATAAATATGTCTATTCGAAAACTCGTTATATTGTTGAAGTTTTTACTCGATATATTATTTTTGAGAAAGTTGTATATGTACTATGTATATTGTAGCTGTAAAAACGTCCGTTATTTTTATTATGTAAAAAAAATAAAACTACTAGTTTTAATAAAAACCAAAAAAAAACGGCACAATAAATTACAACCATTCTCAGTAAAACTTTACATTTAGCGCGTGTGTAAACTGACTTTTATGTTTAATATTGTAATTTATTTCACTCGCTGTGCACAAATTTAATTTGAAACAATATTGTAATAATGCTGATTGTTCGAATGAATTTTTAGATAATATTATCTTTTTATTTATTTATTCGTCAAACCTATACTATAACCATTTGAATATAATTCACACACTTCTTATAACATAATATTGTTATTAAAATTATTATGATGGTGTACAATTATTATTTATGAATTACATTCAATAGGGTCAGTTATTTTTTAAAAATATATTCTTATATAGTGGCCATTATGCCGTTAGCCCATTATGTTATAAGAATTTTAGTATCAAATTTTGATGAAAATCGTAAATATAATTATTTATTTTTTCTTAATGCCTGTATATCTTTTATCACCATTTCCAACAACTCACCAAGAAGATTGAAAAGAAAATGGCCAAGAGACGCCCTTACCTAATAATATCTATATATATATATATTAAAAAAAAAACGGTTCCCCCATTAAAAATTCACCAAATTAAATAGGAGATACTGTCAATGGACGGTTTCCCCCCCCCCAGCCATCAAGTCACCGTGTTCTCATCATTATAACCACCATCCGATTTACTTATTGTGCTTTTTTGTATAGATTGTAAATATGCTTTTGTAATAAATAAATACAAATATATATATATATAAAAGGGAACATCCGATGTGATTAGTTCTCACCACACTACACTTCCACTTTTTAATTTTGGAATGGGTATTTGGGTAGGAGGAAAGTAGAAGAGTATGCAGCAGTGTTGACGAAAAATTTTCCGAGGAGGGGATTACTAAAATTATAGTAATGACCTTTTTTTTTTGCTATCTAGTCTCTTACCAGTCAAATTTGTTTTATTATTAAATTAACTATTGATTTACCCACATTTAACGGGGGGAGCAAAACAAAATTTTAGGGGGTGGTATGGTATCATATACCTGGATTCAATACTGAGAATTTGTGTCAAAACTCGGTTTCACATTTTACGAAATTGGCGACAATTTGGACAACAGTTTCTTATCCTTTTTATATAATTCATAAAACATTATTTTATGTAGGTTATACCATAAAATATTATGAAAAAACATAACATCATAGTAAAACCAAAAACATTCATTGCTACGTTCAATTATTATACTGGTAAAATTTAATATTATAATCGTCAGCATAGGCGCCAGGTTTTCTCTGAACTTTTTTTTTCTATGATAAATATTCTTAGTACAATATACATACATCTCAATTTTTTAAAGTATACTTGTATAAAAAAATAAAGCGTAAGTTAGGTAAATATGTTGTATTCTAAATACGGAGTGGAATAACAATTTATAATTCACATAAGCAGTGGCGACTCATGAGATGGATGATAGGACGGTCGTACCTCCTGCGTGAAATCGAAGAAAAGGACAAATTAAAATTTTATTTAAAAATTTATGAAAATCGTTCAGTCGGTGTTCATAAAAATTAGAAAATAATAACATACAGTTTCACTAATAGTTTTGGCGCGTATCACCGTTGGCAACGCGCCTATATAATGTCACGGAAGTACCGGGTTCCGATACGCACAAAGTGGCAAGTGTGCGTAAAAGCGGTCGCCTTGTTTAATAGGCACGAAACGCGATGTCGTCAGAGCCTTATATGAAAATCCAAATGCAAACGGTAAATCGCTCATCTTGTGCGTGTGGATAAATTTAAACCGTGATCGCGTCTGGACGACGGTGTGCGTTGCAGTCCCAACAGTTAATAATAATGTCAAGAATAATGGTTTCTCCACGATCTTTTCAATATTCATACGCTTTGCAGAGAGCTCATCCGGCAATATTATTTGAGATAAGAATGGTTAATCATTAAGAAAAGCAATGGCCCTGCAAAAATGTTGTTTGTTATAAAAGTTTATGAATTATAATATTTTAAATTCTAAGTGGAACAAAGAAGCTTATGGTTTTACAATGATGTTTATTTTTTTTTTTTTTTTTACTGTCAACAACTTTTCTACAAGAAATATTGTTCAAATTTACAAGTGTAGCACTTTTTCTTTCAAAAAATCTGACTGGGAATTATTGGAGGTCATTTTTTGATTTTTCTAGAATTTTTCTCAATAAATGGGATGACGGAGGAAAAACGGGAAAATAGGTACAATATTAAACAAATATCACTAAAGAAAATGTACAATGCCTATGTAATTATTTTACCATAATATGACGTATATATTGTTGACAAAGCACACTATCGACAAAACTCGGCTCAGAGTCGCTTTTTTGTTAGCAATGGTTAATCTTTACGTACAGATATACACTAACTTTCCCCTCTACTACCTTCCAAACTTCTCACCTACAATAGTGACCCACCTACGTGCAAAGTATGTGCGTCTTTTTGTAATATTAAATTAAGACGCAGGACTTTTCCAAATTGTCACGCCCCTTTCATCCGCGCCCACCAGCCACCACTGCACATAGGTATCAGGCGTATTGTATAGCCCTACTACATCACCGTCGCATAATGTTACGGGTACAACAGTACTAAAGGTTCATAATTTTATGAACTGATACTCTTATCGTCGAGTGACATGATGATGATAATGAATAGGCCTATATCATGTTCATACAGTTTGACATTTCCGTCGACCGTTGTATAGTTTGGCGTCTCCATCGTTAAGTATCTTCTACAGTATTATAACTAATATTGTTCAATTTTTTTATATTAATTTATATTATAATTACTTATATTTTTTAATAAATAATTAAATTATACTATAGTTCGCGATTAGTTAAATATGTTGCACTATAGGTAAGTATGAAATTAAATAATACGATTGCTCTGATAGCTCACTGCATCACCATCGTATAATGATATGCGCACGTAATGTACATACTATGATGAACCGAACTTAATAAGCAGTGATATTTCGAATGACGATGATTATGATGAAATAAACAGCTTTATATTGCCTCATTGAAGGAGATCGGCCCATCGAGATATAATATTTGTTTTCAAATATGTTACCTATTGCCTAGTTATAGAAATTAATAAAATGAATCATAAAACTTCATAATCGTGTTTCTATATTGTACAACTGTTTTAAATTAGATATAAATTATATCTTTATGAGCAGATGATATTTTTTAAATTATATTACTCATAGTTTATCTTCGTTGTCTTATAAAATATTAAATAAATTAACTGAATTACCCAGCTTCGCCCGGGTTCGATTTTAAAACAAACTAATTTTATTTAAATCAATATACAGTATACACATATTTTATTAAATATATACAATTTCACTGTTATTACTTTTGTAATACTTTTTACAATGCATCAAATTAAATTCCTTACACATTTACAATTCCTACAGGCCATAGAGGGAACAATTATTCAAATTATTGTTTTCCGATGATCCGATCACGGGGAAAGAGGCGTTTGACGGCATTGACGCAAGTTGTAACCGGCACATTTTGAAAACCAAAACGTTTGCAGGGCCCTATTATTAAGTATACGTCAATCGGAAGTAGTGACGCCCACTCGGAGACCCCCTACGTTTAGTACTTTTGTGTGACGTTTTACAAATTCAAATATCATAACTGTATAACCCGCCAAAATGTAACACAATCAATACCGCATGTTTTAAATTTTTTTTTTCAAATAACTGCGACATTTCAACAGCAGCCGGTCGACGTTTCTTTACGAATTTTTATCTAAAAGAGCAGTAGATATAGTAATTATGATTGTTAGATATTCCTGAATTTTTTTTCTGTAAAACTGCACTCGATTGTGCCGTTTAACATCACTGCAGGTACACGTTGAAGTACACAATTCGTTAGTTTTATTATACATAATATTATAGTAGTAGATTTGTACAACAATAATAAGTGTTATCTTTTTTATGACAATAATGATAATAATATGCACGACAAATATCGCATAATAGTATTTTACTGTACAGGATGATTTTTTACAACACGGATATTTTCGGAAGAGTTAAAGTAAAATTGATTTTAATTTTTTTTAGGCTTTATATCTTTTTGAAGCTGATTTAAAAACTGGAGGAAGAGGGTTCTTTTTGAAAATCAAAATCAAATGTCTTTGTAATGTACCTACAAAATAAGACGTAAAACGTTATGAAAATATTATGAACATTAAGATCGTTTAACAGTTCTATACTGATAAAAAACATCAAAATCAATTTTACCCGAAACGATAAACCATAAACAGATTTGGTACTCAGGTAACAATTTAAAAATTAATGACAGATTATTATGAGGTATAATTTATGAAAACAATACAAAATTATAATAATAACTTTATTGCATTCGTTTTATTATCAAAATATTTGAAATACCACTTAAAATAGTATTACGATTAGGTCATATATTTTACATAAAATATTTTTATCTATATTGATAATAATAATTTTTGTATTAATACAATAATTGATCTACAATAACACGTGTCATTGAATTATTGGAGTAGTGATATACTGTGTTAATGTGTTTTTTATCCAATTAAGCATTTTATTATAGCGACTTACAAGTATACTTTTAATATTTTTTTATTTATCAATTCATTAATTAATTCGCACCGACAAAAAATTATTATTTTAATTGTATTATTATTTTACTATTATAACTATTTTCCTTGCATTATCCCATAAATGCGTGTTTATATTAATTTCTATCAAAAATGTACGGTGACATCGCTGATTTATGTCTCCGATTTTATAGACATTGAATAAGCCAGGCATACTTCACACCATGGTTAGACCACTATTTTCGAAGAGACATTTGGAAGTTATTGGTCGATAAGTGGCACATCGTCATAGCAATAGTAATATTGCAATTTGTACTCATTTATTAACTTGTTTAGGTTCAACGGATTTATTTTATTAGATTTTTTTCGTTTGTTTTAAATTCTGAATGTAGCGAAGATGCTATTAGTTTTGCTAGGATGTGTTTTTCTCGGAAAATACACTCTCGGATACTAAAAATATTTAGGCTTTTTATATCGTACCTCAAAAGATATGGATTTTTCGCCAGATAATACTTTATTTTAAACGAATTGTCCAGATTCCCGACAGTTTTTTAGGAAAAATGAATATAAAAAAAAACTAACTAGTAGTATAATATAAAAAAATGTATTCTCTAACGTGTACCTCAATAAAAATATTCTAAGAACCGTTAATAAATAAATAGTTAATAAACACGAATATTTTCTTCGGCTTTTCTTATTAGATTCTGAGTATAACAAAATAGAAAAATTGTATAGTTTTACTCGTGCGATTTATTTTTTCTCAGTAAACAATTTATCGTTTAGGGAAAACTCTTTAATTTTTCTTGTAATACTTGCCATACCTCAAATACCTAACAGATTTTTGGTTCTCTGGTATTGTTTTTTTGGAAAATCTATCAAAATTTCCATTATCCCGTTCCCTTAGATTTTACTCTATTCGAGTGTATTTTTTAAACATTTTTTAATAAATATCTGTAAACAATTTCTCTACTAGAAGTCTTGTTCGATCAAACACTTATAAGATATAAACTTGTTTGTAGAATTTTTGACATATTTTGTATATAAAGCGGGTATTTTTTTTTGATTATTATTGATGTTTTCTCAATAAATCGGAAAAACTGACAAATTTTCGTTGATTTCAAAATTGTATTGGTAACAAGGGGAAAAAAAGCTAATACTGGGGATGGTAGCGGCCATTGTTGTAGGTGAGAAGTTGGGAAGGTAGGATACATAAGGTTATTTCATTTATATCTGTAAGCAACGATAAACCATTACTTGAGGAAAGACAATTCCGAGAATAGTTCGGTAATACATAATTTGAAAAGCAATAATTTATTTTGCGATTTTCGTTTAAATTTTATTTCAAAACGCTTATTTAAAAAAAAGAGTCATCCAATGATTTTGAAAATTTTACCATGTCTAGTTAAGTCCATTTTAATTAGTATTACCAAGTTTCAAATATTTACGTGTATTTATAACCGAATTACAGCAAAAAAATTTCTAAAAATTAAACAACAAACAAGTTATCTTGTGATTTTCCGATTAAATCATTTTTTCTGATAGAAAATGGCATCGGTGTTTTTATGAAATAATGAAATCTTGAATTGTACGTTTTCCTACGTTTTTTCCCACTTAAATGCTTTTATTTAAAAAATGGTGAAAATCAAATTACATCTTTAATGTACAATCTAGAAAACCCGAACTTTCAGAATAGGTGCTACACTTATACTTTGGAGCAAGTTTACTAGAAAAAAACGTGTCCACAGACTAGAACAAATAACAAAGAAGAAAAATAAATATTCAGCATTGTAAAACCAATAGCTCCCTCACTCCTCCTAAAATCTAAAACCGACAATTAATGACGATGCATTGATTTCATATTTTTTTTTTGTTTTTGGTTTAAACATTGGCTACAATAGGGAAAACACTACTAACACTAAAAATTATAAACCTTATCAGTTTACCGGGCTCCGTTCAGAATAAGTTTTTTTTTTTATTGGAATAATCTATCGTTGGTTTTGGTTTATTAAATTGAATTGCCTTATCGCGTATATCCCTTCTCCTCGATTCCCCAGCTACAATTGTGGCCTACCCATATTGTGAAAAATGCCCGGTTTATTTTTCTTTTTCCTTTGATAAACGCGAGTTCATCGTCTGCGTAGACAATCACGTGCATTATATATACAAGTAAAATATGATTGGTAATTTTTATCTAGACATATTCAATAGAATTGAATATTATTTTTAGTCTAGGTATTTGTTCTTTTTTTTTCTTTTGATAACGATTGTTCCAAATCGATTTTTTTTTTTAACTCTACAACACAACAAAATATATTCTTATATTCAATTGATACGGCGTCCGTATCTTCGTCTACTTCAGTGTCTAGTATATATCTATATATATATATATATACGTACATACGTACGAGTACAGCTCACTAACTTGGGTGATAAATTATTTATTATCGTATTATTAATATTATAACAATAATATGCCGTCGTTCAAAATCGTTAATAAAATGAAATATCGCTTCGACCGCACACAATATCTTTCTACACGGTTCGAAATGTTATAATGGCGTTGATTGTTTCGTTAAACGCTTATATATTAGTTATTGAAGGTTTAACGATTTAGTTTTTTTCCACCGAACGACCGACGCGTTATTTAGGAATAGTGTTTACTGTTTTATAATACAGGCACGGATCCAGTTGGGAGCGGTAAGGGTACTACCCCCCCCGTTGGCCTTATCAAAATGTATTATTTAAATTTAATATTTTGTGTTGTCCTATGTAAATTCATTTTTATATTATTCAATCACAAATCGTCGTATTTTATTTTAATAAATAACACTCATTTATAAATTGTTGATAACAATACTATGACCGACTGAGCCACAACGACTGTCGACTGTCAGCCACCGCGCGGCGGCTGAGCGGCTCATAGGGTTTTGTTCTAAAAATCTCTAAAAATATCTTCCATATTCTATGATATTTTATATTGATAAATTGTAAATAATTCAATAAAGACATTCAATTCAGTTTATGAAAAAAAATATTCATTGTAATAAATAAGCAATTATTGCTTTAAGTACTATTGCATGTATATATATACTCGTATTTATCAGTAGGTAAATAGTAAATTTGTATAGATATTTATAATCCACCCCTCCCGTTAATGCAGGCTGGATCTGCGCCTGTTATAATATTGAATTGTAAATAAGTATAATGTTATACCGTTGATTTTGGATAATTTCTAACAACGCAACAAAGCGATTTCAAAATGTTTCCAGTTTGATCCCTCGTCGGGTCGCATAATATTGTATTATAGTAGAGATTGTTTTTAAACTGTCTGACAACAATAACAGCGTTTAGACGGAGATAATTTAGCAGAGTTTGGGAACGTGCTGTTTCATCTTGTGTATTCAAAACGTTGCTCATTAATAGAACGGAAATGATGGGCAAACGATATTGAAAATCCTCGGTTTTTAACAAATGACAATTACAAGTGATAGGATACGGATAGGACGGATATTGTGTAAGGATACGGATGTTGTGTATGTGCACAACTTTTCTACCAGAAATCTTGCTCTTATCTACAACTTTAGAGATGATGGTTTCTAGTAAAAAATTTTGCCTAGGTGGTGCATGTAAGAGGTTATTTTTTGATTTTAATTGTTGTATTTGTTTAATTGTTGAGAAAACGCTCGAGAAAGAACGTCGGGAAAACTGTAATGTTTACACAATAACGGTTAGTGTTATATACAATTTTGTTTTTTTATTGTACCTAATTCAGTAAAGAATAATCGTAGAGGTCAGAAATTTCACTGAATACTTATATACGTATATATCTCCAGGTTCAGCGTAATGTAGCAATTATTTTTATAAGCGCTTAAGTTCAAATTTTAATAAAAATGCATAATAATATGTACCTTCTAATATGTTCAATTTCAAATAAATAATAGAGGTACTCTAAAATATTCGAAAAATTAATTGAGGTACTTCGTCCTTTCCAAAATTCAAACACTATAGGTTTACAATGTTTCTAAATATTAAGTATAGATTGAACTCTCGGTTTCACGTTTATTTTGCAATTATCGCTGATGTTAAAATGTCTAATTTAATCACGTTAAGATTAGGTACTATACTACTATTGATTACCTAGTTTTACACAAAAATAGACTATTACTAAATGTAATATTGTTAGTCTTATATTTCGTTTTGATACCCAATTGAATGAGTGGTTCATCACATACAAAAAGAAGATAAATCGTAATCAAAAAAATAGTTAATGTCCGCAGTACACATGTAATGGTTGGATAAAAAATGTCAATTTCATTTAAATATATATACTAAATTATTAAAATTATTAGTACCTACTTATAAAGTTTTATATACAAATTAAAAACGGTCCACAAAATAATAATAATATTACATGCGAATAAAAGAGACCTATAGAAATATATATATAATTTTTAAAAATATTAAGGCTACGTTGTGTTATGGAATTCAAATAGGTGAATTACATAAAAAAAAAAATAATAATAATAATAATAATATATTAAACTCAAAATACGATACCCATCTACCAAATGGCATAACAGGTCAATCCGTCAAATGTCATTAATAATGATAATATGATAAGTGGGTATTATGAATGCACACGAGGAATAAAATTATTGGTGCAGCTTTTTCAACTACACACGGTTTGTTTAGCATATTGTAAAAAAATATATTGATTTGGATTTTTTTCGGAGACGATTACGGTACATATATTGGTTACACAACACTATACACAGTTTAATTCAATATAAAAAAAAATAATTTTGTCACAAAAAGCATTAGCAACGAAATCGTTTGAAAATTTTAGTCTTATAATAACGTGTTTTTTAAATTTTGTACATAACTTGACTAACTTACAAGATGGAAATCTTGGGTTACTTGTAGACATTTTTTATCTAGTTGATGCATTAAGGAGGTCATTTTTTGATTTTTTTTTATGTATTATATTATATATATATATACTATTTAATAAAATAGGAAAAATTGGCAATTTGTTTGTATAACTTTTGTTGATTTCTGGGTTAAGTTGCAACAATAAAGGGAACAGAATCATTGTTTTTCGTTTGAAACGGTTTATAGCTGCGTACGGATACGTATAAATTAAATTATACTTTACATATCCTCCATTCTAATCCTAAAACATCGTACACCCGACAGCAGTATCAACCTTTTTTAAATAATTGTTTTAAATATAAAACTCTGTGTACGGCATACGTACGAGTATATGCTCCGGTTTTTAAACCAAAAAGCATAAGCATGTAATATTTTCTTTAAGAGTAATAAAAAAAAACCTAATTGTTCTCATAAAATATACTTCCTTGGCTTAATAATACGATCATATTCCATAAAACCTATTGTTAAATGCATGTGTTAAATAATAGTTTTTGTATATTATGAACCTCGCGTACACGTTGATCCAACGAAACCGTGTAAAAGCGTACGAGTAATACCTGGCTATTATAAAAGTCAAATATTATAAAATTAAAAATATCACTTATAAAAATACACAATATGAATACTTTACACAACTAATCGGTTGTTGAGATAAGTGGGTACAATAACATACGATTTATCGGAGATATTACTTTACCTGTCGAAATAGTCTACGACATGTACATTCCTTCAATGTCAATAAACTGAATATACCTACTTTGTACCTACATCTATATAAATTGCATCGCGATAGTACGTACCTATATTAATTTTCCTTCTTTCAATCATGTTTTGTGCGCCTTATTATAAGCCCGAGTAAAATAAATAATATAACAAACGGGCTGAATTTAAATACTTACTAATTCATTTAAATCCTATAACAATTTATAGTGATACTGATTCAACAGCGTACCCTTACGAGCTATACTGTGTTTAGCGTATATTATAGGGATTATAAAAACAATAAGCGCGAGATGATCATCCCCCAATTGTGCAGCAGATAATAAAATATTTAATTCGAATGTACATATCACTATTTTCGATAAAATAATATCTAGGGTTTTTATACTATCTATTAAAAATTAGTCATCCGACAAGTGACAACAGTCAACAACGTGTTAGTTCGATTTTCACGTTTGAGTTTTGTAACTACTTGTGTCGAGCGAACAGAATATTATCATTAGTAGAACGCGTCTTATGGTATTGTTTTACGAACGAGTTGTTTGAAAAATAAACGGCCTGAAGTTCATGACCTACTAAAAAACCGCGGTTTTTGTATAATATAATTTGTCGCGACAAATAAATAAATTAAAACACCGTATTGTTTTATGGCGTATGTTATTGTATCATTTGGAAAATATTTCATACAAATACACGATTTGATCGGGACAGTATAATATTAGATAAATCGAGCCAATATTATACGAACAATATATTATTATAGAATGGTAGACAAAATAAATTAATATAATTTATTTAAAAAACATCACTCAACCTAAAGTATAAATATTATAAAAACTAATATCAAACGTGTATATAATAATAATGTAAAAACGGTGGACCCACGTGCAGTGTTGATTAATAAAACGTATGCGATAATTGACGATTAGAAATAAAAAAAAAAAAAATAAAGAACGATGCGCGTTGAACGAATAACGATATAACGAGCCGAGAACTGATTTGTAAATAATAATAGTATTATAATTATATTATTGTTATTATTATCATCAAATGAGACGGTCGCGTTATTTTGTGCAATATAATATATATTTTATTATATTAAAAAAAAAAAAAACGCGTACAAAACTTCATGTTACCTCTCGTAACGAAAATACAATATTATAGCAATAATAATAATAATAATAATGATAATATGACTACCGTATATGTGTAATATAATAGTCAGCAGCTGCGAACGCGTGTAGCACGACATCCGGCAAAATAAAATAAAAATCTAAATAGAAAAGAAAAACGACGGACGTTTGATTTGTATACAACGAAAGAAATTAATAATATCGTGATGTCTCGCCGTCGTCGTCCAGGGAGCGCTCTGGTGGCGGGCCCGAGACGGTGGATGGTCAGCATGGCCTCACATGGCTCCGCATTCCCTGAGAACCCGGTTGCCCAGCGGCAATGGTGGCCTGTAGTTGTTGACCAGCTGTGGTCCACCGTGCGGGTCCGAGCAACACTCTTCGGGCGTTGTCATGCGCATGTTCCGGAACGCGTTCAGCTGCGAACAGAGAAACGGCAAAGTGGTTACGTTGGGCGATAGTCTGGACCGTAGACATATTGAGAAATGGACCACCGGCAGAACGAGAAAAGAATCGATGGAAAAAAGTCGATAGAAAGAGGGGGAGAGAGTGATTTTAAAACAAACGTGATTGTGGAAAAAAATAATATACAGTATATATTACAATATTATCCTGTGATAAACTCAGATGTTGGTTATGTCTTTTAAACAATGTTGGGAGACGTGCACAGTCCATATTATTACAGTTTTATATTATTCCATATAGATCCAAATACCAAATTGAACGACAAGAAACACTTTGCCAAATGCGTAATATAAAAGTTCCTTAACAAATTTGAATTCGTTTAATTTTGTGGTTTATACTTTTACGGTTTTTCAAATTCCTTTATTTACCCCTGCGACCCGACAAGATTTTGTGTAAAAAATCAACAGATTTTAGATTCGGAGCGTAGCGAGAAATGTATTAGTTTTACAATGATATTTATTTTTTTTTTCCGATATATCCATCATGTAAAGGAAATTTTATCTATTTGGTACTTTAAGGTGATTTTTTTTTTGGATTTTCTAATCGGCTTTCATAATAATCGGGTAAAGACGTAGGGTAAACGGAAAAATTTGTGAAAATAATTCTTTTATTATTTAAATTTTTTTTTTTTTATTATAATTCAGTTAAAAATATTTGCAGAAACCGAAATTTGACAGATAAAACAGAAAACTTATATTTGTCTTTTCTGGACGTGATCAATTTTCAAAACATCTAAGCCAATTTTGAGCTATTTATAGACATTTTAATTTTGCAAGTTCTTTACGTAATTTTTATTCGATAGTTACTCTGTAGACAAAATTGTCAGACATGCTTGAAAATTTAACAGGTTTCCCAACAAAAATAATCAAACGATGGTTATACATTTTATTTAACACATCATTTATTCTGTAAATAATATAATATATGTTGCGGAAACGTACACATATTTTCTCGGGTACCCGTTTAAAATATCGGTTAGAAATTAAATTATCTACGCACGTCATTGTCGTGCTAATATATCCAGTTATTCTGAACTTTTCTGTCGGGTTCCACGACATTTTTACCATAATACACATGCTCGTTCGGTTGAACAAAGGTAATATTAGAAAATATAAATTATAATGTTCAAACGAAGTTGAGAATTTTAAAACAAAATTAAATAGTTTACGTAGTTGAACCTAAGTGTAATGTTACAATAATATACTAACATGAAAAACGCTCAATAAATAATATTATACGAGTAATATGATTTTTAATACTTTGTATAGGGACTTGTACTTGTTGTAAACTTTAAAACTACGATTCGGTTATTACGATTTATTCATTCTTGTCAAACAGCGGTCACGACGGTTTTCTTTCGCGTCAGCAGTTATTCAAAGACCACAAAAACCACGACTTTGAAGTTTAGTGTTACTCGCGCCCCGAAAATGATCTATATGTATTATACATGTTCTCGTTTGATTTGTTTGTTTGCAGTTTCAATTTTTTCAGCACAGCGATAATTAACGCCTATTATTATTAATAAATTGTTTAATGGTTTTTAATTACTCGGTCTACGCTGCTGTCGCCTTTCAGGCGGTGAAAAAACATTTAAATTTGGTTAAAAAAAAAAAAAAAAAAAAACCATGCCCAAGAGAAATCATTTTTATTACCAGCGTTCGTTTAAAACATGACGCACTTGACTATAGGCTGTTTTTAACAGCCGTATAATTTATTTCCAATCGGCTGACGCTAATGACTTTGCTGAAATGATTGCACGTTTTAATTCTTTGTATAAATAAATGCATCAGTTACAATATACGCGTTTAACGGTGAAAAATAAAATTTAATTTGTTGCATATTTGTAATTTTATTGACGTCGTTAAAAGTTCAAATATTGTCATCGCTCGTCGATTCCAGACCATAATATCATAATATACGAGCGACTTAATCGAAATGAGACAATATGTTTTCGATAGTTTTTTTTTTTTTTTATATATATACACATTTGCAGGGCTTCTTTTTCTCGATTCAATGTTGTCTCGTTATAGCTTATTGCCCATTAATGTTGTTTATTCGTGTACGCACGGTATTTTTTTTATACGATGGCATACGTTATTCACGTAGTTGTTCTACATATTAAATTATACAATTCTATAAGATATAATATTTTATTCGAATTTCAGTCGACAGCAGTAGCAGACTTCGTATAACTACCGGCATTGTCGTAGAATATTCATATTATAACGAACGCGTCTTCGATTTTGATCAAAGCGGGGAATGTATTACTGTTTTACTGTGTGATTTTATTTTTCTGTCTTTTAATAACTTATATTGAAAAGAGACGGAAATCTTGCTCCGATCATCAACTTCGAGAACGGTTTCTGACAGTATATGTTGTCCAGTCGACGACATCGGGGCCATTTTTTATTTTTATTTTCCTAATACTTCGTTTTAATAATGAGTGGGATAAAAACTGACACAAAAAAAGGCGATATGAATATATTTGAATTATAACATTTATGTTTCTAGCCTAGCCTACAACAGCGGCCTACCTTATAGCGGTGGCCAAGACTTTTTTTTTATTTTGTTTCTTTTTCTTTTTTTCTCAACTCTATCTTGTCATCGCCCGTCAGAATTTCGAGGTCGAAAAATGTCGTATGCTTTCCGCTACCACTGCAGATACCGCTACCCATTACAATAACGTATACAGTGAACAAGGTCGACACTGAACAGTCAATACTCAGATACTATTGAGACTCTTATATACGATAAGTGTATGCCATCGGTTCATAAATCATATTATATTTTAATCGCACATCGTAATAATGTAATGTTCAAGAGTATATAATACGATGGGTATATTATTTCATTTTAAACTTGAAAATATTAGTATACAAATATATCTGTGCATAAAAAAAAAAAAAAAAAAAAAAAAAAAAAAAAAAAAAAATTAAACACTCGAAACATTATTAAATTAAGTACTATTTTTAGTTTATCGACGAATAGTATTGTAACACGACTGATAAAAAAAAAAAAAAAAAAACGTATTTGTATTATATCTCTATTAAATTTGAATTGGTGTATATTATAATAGATTATGCCCTTAAGTGAGAACGTAATTTGAAGAATACCATATTATTATCTACTAAATATCAATAATTGTCCGTGACTCCGTTTGATACTCAACACGAACGCCTGCAGTAGGTAGATAGGTAAACATCGCTACCGGGTTTTGAATAATTAACAGATATACGCCGTCATCACCGACGACGTGACGTAATTAACTTATCAAAGTTTAAAAGTCAAAATGGTTATTAGTTTATTATTATTACTCTGCTGAGAATATTATTTTAAACAGATTAGCCATTGTAATGAAATTATACAATTTTAAGTTACATTGTGCATACCGTCGTTATATACACTATATTATTATCTACTTTAGTCAATAATAGAATTTTATTATCACAAGGGTATTCAAATCGGCAAATTTCTATCTCTGTATTATTATAAAGATAATTTAATCGACAGTAAAAACTATTATATTTTTTTGTAAAAATCGTTGAACTCATTAGTCATTAGGTATCTACGCAGCGAAAAAAAACCATTCTAAGTATACGCCATACTTGATATTGTTTTTTTTTTAAAATAATGAATAACATATTATTTATCGACAGGATTTTGATTTGAATTCATAAAATACCAAGAGACTCTTAAAAAAACAAACACGCACGGAATAATATTTTGTACTCTGCGTATTAGATTAAATTTTCAATGAAGGAATTCTGGTTTGCCTAGAAAAACTATTACTGGGATAACTAGTCGAAAAGTTTCATCCGGTCACTCTACAACTCTATAAAAAGGTACCCGGTTTAACGAAGAACTCAGCAGAGAACGTTAATTTTCGAAACTATACTGTTCAATTCAAAAAACAATTTTCAGTGAAATGGTAAGAATTTAAAATAAAAGGTTCGCATGTATTCATAGACACTGGCCGTTCAGTTAGTTCCTTTTAGTTTTTCGTCATTTTCGGAGCATTGAACTGGACTAATTGAACATTTCTCTCTGAAAAACCGTGTTTAATTAGCAACACACATAATGAAATTAACTGCGTGAGTATATTTATGCATACTGTCCGAATATTGTATAAACAATGATTTTCCTCGGTTCACTCAAAATCGAAACTGCTAAGTTTTTAAAGAAAAATAGTAAATATGTATTTACTATTTTACTATTTTTACATATAGGTATGCACTATAAATGCACCAAAACAAAAACAAAAAAAAAACGATTTTAATTTGAAGGAAAAAAAATGAATTTATACGAAAACTTTACTTAATGGAAAAAAGTCTTTTGCGGTGGCAGAGAGGTTATTAACGGCAATAAGCATCTCACTTTATGTACACAAATAATTACATAATTACATTTGAGTAGCTTACATAAAATGAAAAGTATATTTATATTTTCATTCCCGGGATGAATTAAAAGTTATGTAAGTTTACTGTTTAGTGATAATTGATAAACGCCAGATGAACAAACGCATTTAAAATTGATTGCATAAATCGGAATATACTGAAAGTTATTAATAATTTATGAGCATACTTGGCACCGCGGATAATAGTATTCGATAATAGTTATTTAAAACTTAATAAACAACACCGATAAATCGTAATATTCGAAAAACGATTCCGCGAGTGTAATGCCGAAATTAAAATTGATCAGATTATACGACCCCCATAGCATAGTATTATATTATTGTAACACTTCTTACAGTTTTTCGAGTTTTTTTTTGTAAATGTAAGTGTCGTCTGTGTTCTTAAATAGGTGGTACATCACCAATCCATAAGTCGCTGCACAAAGTGCTTTTCGGAACGAAAAAAAAAAATATATAGGTACTTATCATTATTATAAACCTAATAATTCCCTCGCTGCTGGGCCTAATACCTGAAATTTTATTATTAATGTCAACTTTTAAAGGGGCTTATTATATTAATATGAGAATCTCTCGACTCGTACATCACGTCGTAATATATACCGCTTAAAACAATAATATAATATAATATTATGATATGTATTTTAATATTGCGCTATATACGTTGTCACACAAGTGGCATAGAGTGAAGTACAGATATCGCAAATTAAATTATATTATACAGAGTGTCTCAAGAACATTTAACCATTGCAATAACTCGGAAAGTATTAACTTTTTCCTAAATTTTAAATCCTGAGCGTAGTGAATAATATTTTGGTTTATAAAGCCGATACATGACATGTGCTTTTTTTTTGTCAGTGTACAATTTTTCTATCAGATAGGCTGCCTTGCTCCATTTCTATTAGTTTTTTTTTTTTTCATAAAAGTTCAAATTTTGATGGAAACCATAAATACTACGGTTGCAATTATTATTTATCGTTGCGTACAGTTATAAATCAAATTGTTTTATATATCTTATCTTATTCTCAACTTTTCACCTATTTTATATAAGCGGGGTTTCTCACCAGATAAAAATTGTGGATATGAAAAAAAAAAAACATACGGAGTGATTTTGTTATTATTATCCAGCGATTTCATTGGAGAATTTTATAAGTTTAAGGATTTCTGATTTATTCCAATTATTGTAATATGGTATTATAAGCTTTGACTTTTGATTTTCAAATGTCAATAACCAACCCTATTCAACGCAGATTCGGAAAAAAAAAATAGTTAAATGCTCCGGTCTAAGCTTTAAACTGGTAAATTCAATATTAGTGTTAACAGTGTTAAAAACACCACACATAATATATGCATATCGAAATGTGTAATGTGTACAAAAATATTATTTGTTCGAATCTGGTTTGACAAATAGAAGTTGAAAGACTTCCATTTACCACCGAAATACGACTGCTAAATATTCTTAACGCATACATGCTATTTGAATATGGATTTACTTGTTTTTCGGAGACTTGAATTGCGTTTTTGAACATGATCCATGTGACGCATTCGGAACACGGCGGAGTCGTCAGCGAACCATGATATGTCCAGTAAGTGACGTCCTCTGAAAGTGAAGTATATGCAAACAATATTATGCAAATGCGTGATGTTGGCATATTATTGTGTTCGTGTGTATGTATGTATGTGAGAATGGGTACCTGGGTGAATATACTGTTCATGAGTAAACGCGGTTCAACGATCGCCACAATCATCAAATATTCGTATGTATGTATAATATGTCGTTTATAGGTATATGGGTATCAAAAATAAATTATAATAATATCACATATGATTAATATAATTACCGGGGAACAGATTTTTCGGATCGATAGAGTTCGATATTTTAACCGTTTGATTGCGCAGGGCCACCTGCGGAATCAGCGACACGATTTTTTCCAATTCGGCGTGACACTCGGTTCCGGCCTGAAAACAAAAATGTAACGCAACACCCCAAACGATACGCCGGTTATCAATATTGTACAAATGGGACAACATATTATATAGGTATTATCTTAGGTAAGTATACAACATCGTTAAGACATTATTATTGATAAATAATAATAATTACAGAATATAGTATACCTAATAATTCCTAAACTATATTATAAAAGATGGATCCTATAGTATCGATAACACTCTACGTGTCTGCGACAGACAAGATTATACTGTGAGGTACTCACGCGGAGTCATAAACAGACCCATCCGTCAGAAGTTTGCACGGTATTCTATTCCCCGCGAGGATAAAAATTTCTAATTTCCCCGATACTTGTACCGATCTATACATTTTTTTTATTTATTTTTTTTTTTTTTTTTGATGTTAGACAGGTACAAATGTTTTAGAGACCAATATTGTGAATATTAATCCCACGCATTGGAGGTTGAACTCGATCCGTTTCAATGTTCCTAATCAACGCTAACAAAAATTAAAAAAAAAAAAAAAACAATAACAAGTGCAGTCTTAATAAATTCAATACTACTACCAAATCATTTATTTACAAATAATAATATGTTAGATCAGTCCCAGACTCGGCACCATATATTATACATAGCTAAATCGAAATAAGAAAAACAACAATGAATTATTATTAAATAATGATTTTAATAGAACCGAGAGTGGACTAGACCTACATAATATATAATATTAAACGATCTTGCCCTCAACCATGCATAACTTTTTGGGAGGTCTCGTAATAAAAAAACATCGTATGGATTATGTTAAATACCTGTAAGAAAACTCCGAGTACTGCTAAACCGTCTGGATGTGCAATGGCTTCATTGAATGAATTATACTTATCGCAATTCCAGTGGACAAAGTGCAACTGAAACATTTAGATAAAAATAAAAATATATTACACATTGGTCGGACTACATTCACGAATATCTGTGCTCTTAAAAACCGATTTTTTTTATCAATATAAAGTCAACTAATATACTGGAACTATCGATTTAAAACCATTTTTATTTTTTTTTTTAATTCCGAAATGAAACTCACATTGTTCATAATTGCGTATTTTGCTAATGGATTATTATTTGTTTTAAATAAATAAAATTAATACCTATTTAAAGATATTATTTAGAAAAACGTCCCATCCTTATGTACTGTCTTCAGTCTTACAATTTCACGACAGCCATTTTGTGTTTAGTAGGACAAATTTTATACCGTTAGTTTTAATGTTAGCGTGAATTGACCTATTACAAAACTTGAACATTATCTTTATACCTATGATATTTTTATTTTTAAGGGAAAGATAATAATTTTTAAATTGTCATACTTCACATACTAATATATTAAATTTAAAAATTAAAATATCGAAAAACACACCGACGTAGGAGTACAGATTTCCTTCAAGTCTGGTAATTAGCCAATTTATTCTAATATTTTAAAACTAAAGGCAAAAAATTTTTCTACTGAATGTAAATCTGTTATGTCGTGCATTTCTGAGACGGAGACAGTAAATGCGAGTACGCTGTACTCTTTACCCGGGGTGGATCCAGAGTTTAATTTTGAGGAGGGGGAATAAAAATGCAAATATGGTACTAAAAATAGTAAATAATTAGACCTTTTAAACTAAAATATACTACTCCACTACGGTATTTGGCGAGGGGGACCCGTTGCTCCCCCTACTGGATCCGTCACTGCTCTTTATTGCAGTCCCTTGAACACGATGGAAAATATATTCACTGCAGATTATTAGTCCAAATAAATTTAACAAAACATTACTCACAAATTATATAGGTAACCATAAAAAATACATAAAATTATTAAAATCGGAACCACATTAATAGATGTTATTACAATAAACGAAAATTTGTTCACAAATAGGTACAACGATTATGGCGTATAATATAACATTAACATACTGAATTGATAAACGAAGTTTTCGCAATATGTCAACTTCAAATGACAACTCCCCGGAGATCAATAGGAAAAAAAATACAATAGCAATATGACTAGTGAAATGCATACAAGTATAATATAATACATGTAAAACAATGGTTGCGCTATACCAGAGCTATGTAACAATAATAAAACTCGAAACATAAATATACGCAGAGGCCCATAACGGGGAATTCGTTGAGTAGGTAAGGAAAAAAAAATTCGTTCATCATTATCGTTCATCGCAGTTCAGGCTCGTTGTAATAGCATGCAGAGCAGAAATAATATTGCTATAAAACGTTATAATATTGGTAATTTCGAACAAATATTTTTTTCGAGTAGTGCATTATTAGTATCGAAAAAATAAAATTTACAAACCCCTTGAATTCTACTTACTTCGCCGGCATAAGGTATTCCATCAACGGTGTGCTCCGACCCCTTAGAGCTAGTACATCCCCAGTGACAATGAAACTGTTCCAATTTGTACTTGTGTCCCAGCGGACCGCCAGAAAGTTCTGAAAAAAAAAAGTAATATATTTTCTTGTGAAAACCCGATCTTAAAAAAAAAATAATAATTTTCGGGAATAACGCGAGGAAATAAAAAAGTTGCCTTGTATATTATTACAACCGAAATTGTCCCGCGCCTTAATTAACTAACTTTTTTAGGTTTTTTTTTTTTTAGAAAACTAAAAACAATAAATATTATACTTATCCCCGGCTATTATATTATTTTATTTGATATCCGGACATTTATAAAATTACCATCACTACTACTAAAGTTTATCACGCGTGGAAGTAATATCACGGTAATAATAAACGTTATTTTCGTAATAGAGACAAATGTTATAATATTGTATATTGTATATTTGTATACGATCATTATTAGCGACCTAACCCCAAAATATAGGTACGTCGTATATATATTATATTATGTGAAAAGTTATTGTTAAAACATGAATTGCTAATAATTTCGGTACCGCCATTACACAACAGTTTTTATTATTGTGAATACACACACATATTAAATATAATATGTGGATTTTTTTTTATTATTATACTCTTGGAAAACTCGTGTTTTCAATACGGCAAAATGCGATAAAATAAAAATTACCAGATCCTTCTCCGCCGGTAGCGTCCACTTTCCAACCGTATCCGGTGTTGACGATTTTCGTGCACACTTCTGGACAGTAATTCCAGTACAAAGGTTTACACTTTAGCGTCATGTCGTTGGTTGATTTCGATGTTTCGATGTTCACTGGCGATTGCAACGAACCCGCGGCTTGCGGGAAGAATTTCGGCCAGACCGACGGTCCTATAACACGCAAACATAAAAAAAATCCTAATTAACGGACGCAGGCAAATTCGTAAATAATAATATTACACTACATAGACAACCTGACTTAACCTAATCATCATAATATAAATACTGTCGAAAACCCCGTTCTCGTATTACGATTTTATACGCCTGCGGATTATCTTTTTACGGGTTTTCAATAATTATTATAATATGCAAAACATACATAATAGGTATAGTGTGTAGGTAATAAATGAAATATATATTTTCAACACGATCTTAAACACTATTATAATGTTAAACAAACATCACTGTAATACGTGTTGTTGTTTTTTATTCTATCTGTGCGATTAAATTTCCTGTTAGTAACCCACGGGCACGTTTATAATAAAATCGTTTCCTGAACACGAATATTATGTTGCAGTGTTTTGTCACAAGTATACAATATAATTTTTTTATTACTATAATGCACACATTTTATTTTTTTGGTAATATTTTCTCAGTACCTAGTCACCTACCTAATATTTTAACCGGTTATGCCGCCGAATATATAATTATAATAATATTTTTTTACGAATCAAACGAGTTTCTATTATAATTGTTGGACACCTACATTATAATGTCAATTTGCACACGGTCGTTGTTTTGAGACCGGGTCACATTTGCCGGGTGGGACGAATGTAATCTGTAGACGAAACTGTTTCGAAATTAACCATCTCTTTACAGCGTGCATTTTATTTTTTTATAGCAACTATAGGTAATATTTGAAAGTAATAAATAATAATATATATTATCACACCGCGAGAGTCATTTTAAACTTGCATGTAATATAGACGACGTAACAATTATCTCGCTTTCCTATTGAATACCTAATAATTTAATTATTCTCCTTTAAACGGTTAATATATTATATTTTTCTTCTCAAAACTGTTGCTGCTGCTGCCCTGTCGTAACTCCGATGAATAGGAATTAGATAGGTAGGTATAATATGCATTGACAAATAACAAATTAAGACAAAGTCGTTCTCAAATAATATTAATTAGCATCGTATAATGCGATGGCAAACAGAAAAAATGTGTTCGTATTATAATGACTAGTCGACAATAATTATTATTTATTACGTGCGAACAAAATTGATATTATAATTAATAACTAATTAATGATTACAATGACAAATTACGTAAATAAACGTCGAAAGTTATTTTATATTTCGGTATAGGTAGTGTGGGTCAGTGTTTCCAAAAATGTCTTCTTGTTCCAATCCCAATAATGTTTATTATTAAAGATAACTATACGCACGTCACAAATACACAATATATATGATATATTTATCTACCAGATTGCTAACTATAGTGCCAATAATTGAAGACGTTTCGACGAGCCATTTTTGTGTGAATTATGGAGACGAAAGTGATAAGTCCTTCTCTCTACCTTTTATTATCATACTATCCTACATTAATAGCTGATATCATCATGATAATAATTAAGTGATGAGATTCTTATTCCCACGAAAATTACCGAAAACGGTTGCATCAATATTATAATATGCTGGCAGCGTAATATTATGACAGTAATTTATAGGATATTTTACTCGTACCTAAATTTGTATATATCTGTGACCGCAATGTAAACGCGGTGTAAACCATACAATTATTATTATTTATTTTATGGTAATATTTTTATTAAATCCCGTGTAAACAAAACAAAACGAACATGAATATATATGTAGTGTTTTCAAATCTTTACCAAAATACACATTATACCTATTGGTGTTTTATAATACCTACGCGACACTTGAGCGATAAAATTCTGATTCGAATTTACATGAAATTATGGCTATAGTGGAAACATAAAAAAAAACAATGCAAAATATTATAATATTATACATAGCCAGTAGGAACATCGCCACCACTTCAAAATAATAATTCACATTCGGTTTGAAATCATCGCGGGTGGTTACTAAATTTGTCGCTTCCTTGATTAATATATGCGCGTTTTGAAAGCACATATTTACCGATGAAACTGAATATACGGTGAATAGCCTTTAAGTTTATTCACATATACCTATGAGTATAATAGGTACCCGTAGTTACGTTCAACGATTTTAAAACAATAAACTTCGAACTTGTATCAATATACGAAAACAATTATTAATTCGTTTATATATGTATAATGTGTATGTTGTATGTATGTATAGGTACCGTATAAATCGTTAAAGAACACAATAAAACTGTTTAACGCAGTCTGCAGATATCTATTACATACCTACTACGTTGTTTATACATTTTCAGCACAATATAATAATCAAGATAAATAATTGTTATAACACCGAGTGCGTTATTGGCTGCACATGAATGATATTCAACGCTGGAATTACTGTAAAAAAAAAAGAAACGTCCAAGTCGTATATATACATATCTATTACCTATATTATATTAAACGAAATGATAAAAAAGACGTTATAAAATATACAAATGATCAAAATCATATTAAAGAGTCTGCTGAGTTGTCTAATAGTTGACTAAGTAATAATCTTAAGTGAAACATGTAAACTTTTAATTGCGTGACAACGACCAAAATCAATATTTTTATAACCTACCAATAGTAATGATAAGTTGCTGTTGACAGTGCTAATAAGTCTGTATAAAATGGAAAGGGAAATAATGTTTTTCAAGTCGGGACGCAATTCATATGAAAAAGGGATCTTAGGACGCAATACGTATGCTGCGACGCTATTATAACAACTATACCTAAACATTCCAATTATTCAATAAAAAACCGCGAGTTTGCTACAAGCTGCAAACAAAACACGACGACTACGTCATGACGTTAATAAAAATAATTTGATTTTAAATGGCTTATGGTTATATGCGTATTGCCCGCAACCAATGTTTTTTTTTTTTATAGATTTTTTTTAGTATATATTATACGAGTATAACGTGTTTTTCTTTTTTTGTTTCTTTTTACTGTCATGTCGTATATTGTAATTTATATTTTCTCGTACCTAATACCTAATGCTAAAGAAATCAACAAAAAAAAAAACCACACTCGCACACAAGTCCAAGCAGTATGATTAATATCGCGTATTTTGATGTACGACGTAGGTACGTTATGTCCGTAACCGGTTAACTGCAACGACGAGGGGCGGGCTTAATACTAGTTGAAGCACACGCGGCCGCAAATTATACTTACGACGGCCTCGCGAAAAAATTTAGCTTTCACACGCGGTCGACTCATCGAGCTGTCCGCCCGCGGTACGAAAATTGTAATCTCGATGAAATTAATTATAATATACGCGCGCCGTGATGACGCACTTGATAAAACCTAACGCAGATTGCACAGAATAATAAACTGTTAAAAAGAAAAAAGATATAGTTATACATATGCAGTAACATGTGCAGGGGAAGGGAATTAAGGTTATACCCCCCTATTCGCTTAAAAATACTACTTATATCATAACATCGTTTAATCTTATTTTCGTCACGCTCACTTATCACTAGATATACAATACTAAACATATACTACAGATATACTACACAATACATAGATTATATTGGTTATCAGGCGTTCTTGAATCTCACACGCCAATAAAGTACACAATCAATTCTCACTAAATGTAATGAGATATAATTCATAAAAGAAAAATCAATATCTATTGAGAAGTAGGATATCTTCCTTATTCGGGAAACGCTGCCCACTACGTATATCTAATATGCACATGTCCTATCTACTGTGTATTATCTAAGAGGTGTTGATATTTTGATTTATTTTTATTTTGCGCCGATCAGCTTTTAGACCGAGAAAAACGTAACCAACAATACGTACACCTATGTGTATATTATTGCTGCAAGTCGGACGGCGCGCGACCAGAGACGATTATAGGTCGATGGCCTGTTAAATTAATGCGATTCCGATTACGATACAAGCACATGTATCAGACAGCGTATACAGGTGTATAAATTAATACATTCAGTCGAGGAAAACGCGTTCGAATGAGAGGCGAACGATATGATAAACGAACGTACAATGACAAGGTATTTTTAGTAAATATCCATCATGTATATCCACTACTCCCTTAAAAAAATACTCCACGAGCAGATAATCCAAAAGTCAAGGGATTCCCCTTGACTTTTGGACTTTCCCCAGTTACTATGCGTGAAAGTATTTCATAGGAAATATAATATTTTGTTACAAAATCTTACTCTTCGCCTTACTCTGCCGGTGTCACAATGGACTTTATTGGGTTCAAACAGAAAACCTCTTTAAAAAAATTCCCTGTGTGTGATACAGTTGGATATTCAACTGAACGACCTTTAATAAAAATAATTTACTGTTTAGGAGACGATTTATCGATAGACACTGCAGTAGCAGAGATACCGCCAGGAACCCCGAATGTATAAGGTTTCTAACCAGAGTTTATTTCACCTGGGAGGGAGGGGAAAAGTATCAATCACCATTCTGGAAAAAAATGTATAAATATTACAATATACGCCTTATCGAGTAACGATTTTGAAAAATGTGTTTATACAACAGATTTATTTTGATTCAATTCAAAAGTCGTCGAATCTACGAGCCTGGAATGATCAATGCAATAGATTTCTGATTCGGGATTCAATCTTACTCCCTACCTCCACCCTCCCCGTAGAAAATTCTCTTGTATTATTCGAATTTCGTGTAAAACGATTATTTTCAACATTTCTGAGAATAATAAATAATTATAATTGACATTAATAAGTTATATTTTCTGACTATCTATTATCTATCATATTTATCATATATATATTGATCGTATTTATCTATTATACCTATGTGTATACGAAGCGACTATTACCCAGTGTTTAGTCAATTTATTATTAAATAGAAAACGATTTCTAAACGGTTTACGATAAATAGCGAACGTTCGAAACATTGTTCTTATTTTTGTCTAGTGTAAAAGTCAAATTTAGATTTTTGTATTTTGAAAATATTATTTCGCATTATTTAGATAAATAAATTTATATAAAAAATAAGATTCTGAATAATTATTATTGCAGTTATTGAACAATATTATTTTAACGTAATTCAAATTATATTACATGATATACGGATATACGCTGATGGTCCGAGTGAATATAATTTTTATTAATTTAAAACGAAACGATAAATTATTATTACGTATATATCAGGTACATTATATGTATTATGTTTCTCAATTTTTCGGGAACATTAAATTTGTTTTAATATTCCCTACTACCCACGTGGGGCACCTACTTCCTAAATATTAGCACCGCCCGGAATTAAAACTAATGTGACATTAGATTATTCGTGAACAGTGACATGTAATAAATGACAAAATTAGATAAATGTACACGCATATAGAGGGTTAAAAGTTAATTAAAAATGATAAATTCATTACTTAACTATTATAACGTGTTGAATTAATTAATTTTTCGTCGGACGAAAATAAGTCTTATGTATTATAAAATATTTTTTGACATTAATAATTCACCGAAAACAATAATAACTTGGATACCTATTTACTAGGTACCTGTATTTATAATTGCCTAGGTATCTAATCATTTTCTGTTTGACATATGACAACATTTAACAAAATTATAGGAATGATAATGTATTATAATATTATGCGTAATACAATTTCACTTAAAGAAAAAAATATGGAAAACAAGTAATAAATCAATCAGATCGATCATTCGGCTAATCTATATAATTATATAAAACGAGGTACGATAATATTATTAAACGAGCGGAATATAATAATATAGTTATATTATTACTCCGACATCATTATTATTCTGTTGACCTATCTCGTAACGTATAACTGCACGTAATTATTGAATATAATAGAAGATTATACGATTTTATACGGGTCATCGTGATTATATGGAAAATAGTATATCATGATAGGCGTCTCAAGGGGCAGTCACCTTACCTCCCCTCGGGGGGTTTTAACTCTGTTCGAAACGCATTAAAACGTGCTAGTGACTAAAAATTGTCATTTATTTTTAATTTACCGTTGTCCCCTTTCCCTGGAAAAAAGGTCTACGGACGCTCAGGTCGAATAATATATAAGTAGTACTGTTACAGTATGACCCGTGGCGAGGATAGTTCTGTTAGTCCGAAGACTCGTAGTTTTGATTTTTTTTAGTTGAGTGAGTAACCCGGTCATCTAGGTTGGCGTTAGATATAACCAAGTAGGAAGTAGGTATTTCATAGAGTTGTCTTAAACATATCACTTTGTCTTTGAAATATAAGAAATATAATTTGTTTTGCCTAATTTCTGGTTAGCTAGGTTAGGTTATAACAATACGCACTCAATGCCGGGTCGGGACAGCTAGAACACCCTGTGAATAACAACTTCGATAATTGTACCCTTAGTTTCCGGATTTTACAATAGGCAGTGTAAGTTATTAAAAAAAAAAGAAGAAAAAAACACGAATAAAGTCACAAGAAACAGCTACACAATTATAATACAAAATTATTCAAAATCATTTAGTTTTTTAAAATATTATTTTTAAAAATATTTAACAAACGTGCTACCTCTTGCATACAAATTATATTAAAAATGTAAGGTACTAAACTGCCCACGAGTGAAGTCGGATAATACAGCTGGTATTATAACAGTATAGAGAATATATGAAATGTGCAGACATGGGGTCTTTTATCAATAAATGAGTGATTGAGTCAAATAATGTCTCAAGATTTTTGACTGATATAAATTTACCGCCAGAGTGTAACAAACGTTTATGGTTTATCCCTATAGGCACCGTCAAAGTAAATATTGAAGTCGAAAAATATATCGATTGTTATTTCATTTGTAACCATTTGTAATACTAATTTCAAAATTTGTATGCGCCACTCAAAACATGTGAAAATCAATTTTCCAAAGTGGGATTATAAATGGATACAAAATTAAAAATAACAATTATTGGTATCATTCTGGAGGACAAAAACATGCCGATTGCAGACTGGTGTAATAAATTTTCTTCGATTGACTTCGATATTTACATTGGTGGTACAGAGGTAACAACGCACCTTTTTGCAAGAAGTGGTATACATATTGTTATATCAAAAACCTATAAAATAATGTTTTTTATATTATGATTATAATGGGGTTTTTTTTTAAAGTTTCTTGATCCGTTTATTACGTTAATTTTTGTCATCAGAATAACTATATTACAAAACTAAAAGTATATTCTCGAACTGGAATATAAATGGGCAAATCTAAGTTTATATCTATATTTATTTTTTTTTTCAATAAATAAATATAAAAAAAAAACAAAAGCGAACTGCAGACTTCCTTTTTATAACATTTAATGGTTTTTATGTACCATACCTACTAAAGTAAAACACTAAAACAAAGTTTAAAGTCACTTAGTTATTCCCAAGTCATTGAACATCGCACAAATATCTGAAGTAAATACAAATACTAATTTTCCCTTATTGTTCGAGATGTTTTATACATGTACATCGAGTGCACGAAAATTCAAATTTCATTAAACATTTTTAATGTTAGCTAAATTTAAAAATAGCATTCAAAAACAAATCAAACAGTCAAATATAAATTTCATTAAATCCAATAATAAACTATTATAACAATATTAACGATACATTATTATTTGTTTACAGTCGCTGCTCCGCGATAATGGTCGTAAATAAATAAAGAATATAGTTGCAATAAAAGAGCGTTAAATTGTATTTTCTTGTATAAGTAAATTCTATTTAGTTAAGTGTTGAAAAAAATTATAAGTATCTGTTAATTTTTTTTATTGGGTGCACTACAACTATAAACGTAATATATTGTGCATATTCAAAAAAAAAAAATTAAAAACTAGTTGATAATCTTAATGGGTTTACAGCAGGTGTGTAGGTGAGCAATGTAGGTGTAGGTGAGAAGCATCAGAAAAGTAGAATCTATAGAACAATTTAATTTATATATACGCAATGATAAATCATTTATAACAAAAAAACGATTCTGAAGAAAGTTCGATTAAACATACTTACAATAAACCTTGTATTAAATTTTCAAACATTTATTCTAAGCCAATACAATTTTAACCACACAAAACTAAATAAAATATTTAAAATAAACTCAACAATTTTGAATACAGTAAAACTTCCAGACAACGGTCACTGAAAGGGCCGGAAATAATGGCCGCTATTTAGAGGTGACCGTCCTTTAGAGATGTCCTAAAGAGGCATAACACTTGACGGGACCAAAAAAATGACCATTACATATTAGAGTTTATCTTTAACGGAAGTTTCACTGTAGTAATAAATAGTTCAAAACTCCATAAGAATTTTTGAAAACTTTATAACATCTGAACAAAGGGAAAATATAAGTATTCGTTGATACTCTCAACTTTCTGTGATTATTCTTAACTAATTACAACGAAAAATAATCAAAATCGAAACACAACGATTTCTGTTATTTCGGATTAACGTAAATTACAAAAATTTCTCTCGGTTACAAAGTTAGTCGGAAAATGATCTTCTAGTATCTAGTGTACCTACTATTAGATCCAAAGCCTTACAAATTAGTTCCTATAAATGTTTTTATTGGAACAAGATTTCTGGTAAAAAATTGGTTAATTGACACAGTAAAATATATTTTTAACAAAAATCTATTCAAAGAATCAACTAAACTGCAACAGCAATTAACATAACGGGCACTAGTTTTAGTTAACGTACCTACTACATGATTTTGCAGGTTTCATCGGTACCTACGTAAGTACACACACATATACAAACGTAGTATTTTTTCATTAAACGTTTTAATATTCCGGGCTATCGAACGGTCCAAGGTTAATTCAAAGTTATTATATGTTTATGTTATTTTTTTCGCGTACTTGTATTATAACCAAACGGTATTATAATATGCTGCTGCTGCTGCTGTGTAGTGTATTATATAGTGTGTTACCTGCGTTATTATCATACATAATATTATTATGTTTATATTTTTTTTCATTATCTGTACTGCAAGAACCACACATAAATTATTTTATTATATTATATTATATTATTAAGGTCATAATTAAATTTGTATTATATATAGTTAGATAATTAAAATAATTTTTTTTAAGCTCAAGGGCCGCAAAACGCACTCGCCAGTCGGGTTTAATGGATTGTGCGTATAGGCATGTATGATTACAGTACCGTGAATATTTTTTTTTAAATAATGCAAAAACAAAAACAAAGACAAAAATGTTCAACTATAATACTGTTTTTTATTACAGTGCACTTAAATTAAAATATTTAAATAAAAAAAAAAGGACGGATTACTCAGCACGTGGGTGCAGCCACTTTTTAGGTGGGAAATTGGAAAAGTAGGATACAGACGGGAATTTAATGTATATCTGTAAGCAACGATTAACCATTACTAACGAAAAAACGATTCTAAACGGAGTTCAGTTGATATTGATGCTTTTGCAACAATTTACATGTCATATTATGGTAAAATGATTACAATAATTGATTGTTTAAAAAAGATTAAAATAATAAAAACTTAATAATACAAAAAATAAATGAAAACGGTTACCAACGATAAACTTATTTTTTATCTTTCAATCATTTTTAACCTGATGACCGAGTTTTTCCTCACTACCTCGAATATTAATGAGAATTTCAAAAAATTATCTCTCTAAAGTACCACCCAGAGAACATTTCCTTTTAAAAAAAAAGTAAAATAATAATAAACAATTAATTACCTTTTAAAAAAAGTGCTATACTTGATAATCGGAGTAATTTCGGAATAATTGATAGAAAAACTGGTAGAAAAAGAGTTTACATAAAAAAAAAAATAAATACATCATTGTAAAACCAATACATTCCTTGTTCCACTCAGAATCTAAAAGATAATAAAATGCGTTTTCTTGATCGTTTTCATAATAATATGAAATATCGCTTTCAGATACAATTAATGATTAATAATGGATTTCGTTTTGCAAAAAGTTTGGAAAATCTTGTCGATTCATAAAAAAATATATTTATCAAAGTGTTAAAAATCTTGTTTGACACGATTATATAAAATCCTGTGCGTGACATTGTTCCGTTGAATATTTTCATATCAAACTGTGCTGTACTTAAAAAAACTTAAGATTGGTTACGGTATTATTTTCCAGGAATATTCGTCGTAAAAATTTTAAAAGCTTTTGAATTCTTGACGCGATATCATTGCGTCGACATCCTCATTACAGCAACCTCTATACAAAAATAGCTATAGCACGCATATATTTTTTTTTTTTAATCGCGTTTAAACATCTTTAAAAAAAAAATTATACACGTATTTTGAAAATTATGTAATTTAAACCAAAAATTAAAGGGGAAAAAATGGCATTATATTAAAATTATAAAAAAAAAATTGATTAAAGCTCTTTTTCCCGGATATCTTTCGTTATGATTATTTTTATAAGTTCAACCTGGTGTTTTTAATACACATGTATTTTAATAATAGATATATACTGCAGTTATCCGTGTCACAATCCCGTCAATTAAATCCTACTCGATTTTTTTTTCTTCAAAATAGATGTAATCAATAATAAAATAATGACCGATGATGAAGTATTATTTTTGTCGATCAAATTGTAAAACATACATGTCAAATAATACTACCTACAGATCTGTAAATGGTTTATGCAAATTTTAACAATTTGTTGCAGTGACTTTCGCTGTATATTTTGTTTTAAGTTTGAGTCGTAAAGTAGGTAAGTATATACTATATAATATACATATATATTTTTTTTACACAGAATAGTACCTACGCACATTATTATCAAACTGATAGGCCAAATTGGAAATATAATTTTTAACTTTGCAAAAATCAACAAAAACATGATTAAAGTAAATAAATATAAATATAAACTAAATTAATAAATCAATGCGTCTCTTGGAGTATTATAATAATATATAATACGACCGGTTTTGAATTAAAAATTCATCATCAGGTACATCACAATCAAAATGTAAAACGGGACTGAATATAACAAATTAAATGAGAGAATACATAGAAAAAAATTTACAAATTGGTCGTTTTACATAGAATATAAAAATAATTTATTTTAATAGGAGAGATTATTTAAAATTAATTATTATTAGATACAGAAATGTTAGGAATATAAACTATTTGGTTATTATTTATTATCAAAAATGTATTGATAAAAAATATTATTTTTGAACTTGGTATGAACATTTAAAATATTATTGAAATTATTTTCTTTTATTTCATTGTGTATGTGTAATTCTTCTAAAACTGAATTAATGTGTAATTTTTTTTTTTGTGTATTTAATATTTCTAAATCTGTATTAATATCGAAACTTATATCTATGTTTAATGATAACTAATTTTAAATAATCTCTCCTATTAAAATAAATTATCTCTATGTTCTATGTATAAAACGATCAATTCGTATAATTTTTTTTTTCTATATATTCCTTCATTTAATTTTAGATTCAATCTGAGCGAGGGAGCTATTGGTTTTACAATGCTGTTTATTTCTTCTTCTTCTTTGTTCTTTGTTCTAGTATATAGATACGTTTTTTTCTTAATAATCTTGCTCCGATGTATAAGTGTAGCACTTTTTCTGAAAGTTCAAGTTGTTTAGATTGTACTTTAAAGAAGTCAATTTTTTATTTTAGACGCCATTTTTCAAATAAAAGAACTTAAGTGGGAAAAAACGTGGGAAAACGTACAATTCAAGATTTTATTATTTTATAAAAACACGGACGACGTTTTTTACCTGAAAAAATGATTTAACCAAAAATCACAAGACAACTTTTTTGTTGCCTTATTGATTTACATTCTTACGATATCATCGCCAAGACTTTTGAGCCACTTTTGAACTTTTATGGAATTTTAATTTTTGGTAATTTTTTTGCTGTAATTCGGTTATAAATAAACGTAAATATTTGAAACTTGGCAATACTAATTAAAATGGACTTAACTAGACATGGTAAAATTTTCAAAATCATTGGACGACTCTTTTTTTTAAATAAGCGTTTTGAAATAAAATTTAAACAAAAATCGCAAAAAAATTACTGCACTTCAAATTATGTATTACCGAACTGCGCTCGGAATTATCTTTCGTCAAGCAATGGTTTTTCGTTGCTTACAGATATAAATGAAATAACCTTATGTATCCTACCTTCCCAACTTCTCACCTACAACAATGGCCGCTCCCATTCTCAGTATCAGCTCTTTTTTTTTCAATTTTATTTTCAGTCGCGTTTTACATTTCGACTGTAATATACCTGATGATTTTTAATTCGATACCGGTCGCATAATACACTTATCATAATACTCCAGGCGACGCAATGATTGATTTATTTTTTTTTTATACATTTATTTACTTTATTTATTTACGAATATTAAGCATTTTAATAATTTTGTTTTTACTTTATTATTTTATTAAAAACCTAATACCTGAAAAAGTCAAAAACCACTTGTGTAAACGAGAAAAAAAAATATACAATAATACGAACCTCGTTTGCTAATACAATTGAATTTCAAAATAGTTTGTAATAAATTTATAATTAATTTCGTATTTACCAAATGTATACAACAACATAATTTACAAGCATAATAATTATCGTTATTTATTTAATTTTTTTTTTTTGTTTTTAAAAAAAAAATTACTATCTGTTATGAGTCATATAAATGCAATAAGCGTATTAGTGCATTACATAACAATTATAGTTATAATTTTGAACACAATTAAATGTTTAAATGTCAAACAATTGTAATTGTAATTAAGTAGGTATATAGGTACTTAAATTTAAAATAAAATTGTAATGTAATGATCATAATATGTAGATGTACTACACTAATATATTAACTACATACCATAATGTAATTATAATATAATACCTGTATAGTGTCTATACAGTGTTTTCAAGAGACTTCGATCAATATAATTGTTTTTCTATCTCGAAAATTATTTGAAATACAACCATCTAATGTTGTTAGAAAAATATAATTTTTCTAAATTTTTTAACGATTTTAAAGCATTATAATGATATGTATGTTTAATTTTATGAATATCTTTACTAATACATTTTTTCCCTTCATAAAACCATAGTTAAATTTCTTCATATTTAAAGATATAAGTTTAAATTTTTTTAGGAGAAATCGAGAAAAAACATATGTTTTAATAAATAGCTGCAAGTTTCATTTCATTTTTAAATTTTGGAAAATGTCTATATGTGAATTTTGGTACTATCAATTTTCCAACAAAAAACCCATTTTAATCAGAGTCCGAGTAGCTGAAATACTTCATTTCACCATTTGAGTGAAACACACCGTATATTAAACCAGTCAGTTTTATAGCTTCTATTTTTTTTTTTCACAAAGACGACCCGATTAAATACTGCCTAGGTGTATGTATATACATTTATTAAAGTAGGTTAGTTCTTCGAATAGGTTTTCTCTGCATTATATATCTACTGGACGAATAGGATTATACAGTTTTTTTTTTATTTTACAATTAAATTCGTTCATATCGATACAAAAAAAATAAAATAAACTATTGGAATAGCACATACTATGTTACATAAAGTACATCACTTTGAAACAACATCTACAATAACAGTATTATTATTAGCTAGCGATGTGCCTAATATATTATCTGCACATTTAGCACTGCTGCAACGAAGAGAAATTAAATGTAAGTATAATATAATATAGTCGAAGAGAAAAACATAGCAATATATAACCATCATAATCATCATTATCATATAGTTACTGTTTAAAATTCAGAAGCGAATGTTTATTTAAACGGAATAATAATATAACACATAGGCAGGTACTTAATAGAATATTATATTTTGAGACGGGTGTACCAACATGAAACTATACCTGTGCGCGTATATAATAGTTTTATTAATCAGGTTTGCTTATATGCAGAATAACAAGTTATTCCGGGTGAATAATTCAACGATATCAACAACAACTTTTCAATAATCAAAGATAAACATTTCACGTCTTGGTTTACATTTTCAAACCTACATAGCAGTCTATGTACTGCATCATTTACTAATTCTTCCTATACAGAATGATCAAATCTCGATAAGACACCGAAAATCGCATTAAGTATTAATTTTGTTCGAGGTTTCTTTTTTTTTTTAAGTAGCTCTAACGTGTTACAATACCATTATATTTTGTCACCTTTAATTAATGTCCATCAACTCGTTAATGAGATAGTCCACTTTAAAACATCTCTTTGTGTGGCAGTGTGGCACGCGGCGTTTAAATAGTATTCTACTACTCTCACCTAACCCAATCTTAAAAGTAAAATATCTCGTCAACGAGTAGACAGAAATTGAAAATGTAACGTCAAAATGTTTTAAGACAAAACTGCATCTGTTTAAAGAATTTTCAAAAATCAAAAGTGAATAGTGAGGATTGATCGCCCTGTATAGACAAAACGAAAATTTTGCGATTTCAATATTGATACATAATATTTATTTTATAAAACGGGAAGACGATAGAGATAAAAATATTACATTTTTCGATTAAAAGCCAAACATCGTTTGATTGCGATTAATAAAATATATATATATACATTTCAACCGTTACATGCAATTCTATGATTATTGGTTGAGCTTGCAATTTTTCTATGATTATGATGTTATTTCTTTACGTAAGTATTGTTGTTGCTAAAATAAATATTGTTAGTATTATACATAGATTATAAGTAGATATATTATCAATTACTTTTCAAACAAACACACAAAACGCGAAATTAGTTACTTTAAAAAAATATAGATATAGCAAAACAGTTACACTCGTTTTCTTTTGAAGTTCTACAGTTTCGACGCGTATGCGCTGCTTATTCATCGAACGTGTATTCATAATTCATATCAAAGAAAAAGACAAACAAAAAAAATGTAACTATAATAATAATAACGTGTGAGGGAATATTAAATTAAACCTACTCCTGAGGTGTTGACGTTATATTATTGTTATTATCTGGTATAAACTGACCCTGATTCTAGTGGCTATAAAGAAGATTTCATTCAGAGAAAAAAAATGACATTATTATTATAGTTTTATCGCTTGATTGATTTCTTAGTCCTTGAGACAGCGAATAAAATACTATATAATAATATTTTAAATGAAAAGTCAAATATTTTGTGTTTATTTTTTTTACTACCAACCTACTATTAAACAACGAAACACAATACACATTTTTCGTTACGACGACTTATACTGATGATGTTCAATTGTATTATATTATATTCGCAGCAATGAAAATATTTTTATAGTACTATAATATCAATCTAAACAAGTTTTTTTTAGCATCATTAGCGCGGTGATTGTATAGTGCTCCACTGTTCTCTTACCCCTACCCAAACTTAAAGTGGAATATCTTGTCAACGGGTTGATGAAAATTAAAAATGTCAACACCAAAATGTAATAAATAAGTTTTTTTACGGGAAATTTGACTGTAACGTGAAATTCTGAAAACCCTATAAATTGTTTTTTAGATAAATAATTCTAGAATTTCATAATGTATGAAGAGCACTTTTCAATAACTATATAAACACACGAATAGCGTGATAAATTTAAAAAATTACACCGCTAATTTGTTGAAACGAGTCGAGTGAACGATAATATAAAAATGACTTATTTTATTATACTGTTTATGTTACAATAACTTTATTCAACAAAAAACAAATTACATGTACACACTAAAAATCAACTCTCTCCATAAAATGTTTATAATATTATTAATAAATCCTATTTGTGATAACAAAAAATACATAGTAAACATCTTGATAAAATTAAATTGGAATTTGTACCCACATTGTGTAGGTATTTTATTTAATTATTGTTAACTCGAGACGTTTTTTTATCTAAGGGTAAATAATACAAATTCACCAACATCATTTTTTTTTTTTTTTATATATATATATATAAATTATAATCTTTTATTAAAACTATTCCATTATAAGACCGTTTCTGGCATAACAGTACATGTTATTTATACTTAAGAACTGATTAAACATATACCTACGCCGTTCAATGTCAACATTTTTTACTATTGAATATTTTAAAATAAAAACATATAGGTACTTATAGAATTTAAGGGATATGAGTAATCGCACACATGCAATATTTGCTTTTTAGACATTCAATAAATATTCACTTTACCGGTTTTCAGGGCAAATAAATACAAAAAAAAAAAGAATATCTACTGCTGACAGCTTTTTTTTTTTTTAACTCGTTTCGTTTGAATTAAGTATATAGAGTGTGTACTCTATGCCTGTGGTTTATTAAAGAGAATTATTACACAACTTCAATAGAGATTATAAAGGTCTCGAAAGAAGTCATCGTTAAAACAGAATAATAACAGAATTTATGCCAATTAAATCGTACATGATGAGATTTTTAAATTATAATTGGCGTGCAATTGTATTGTATTCACACACCTGTGTTTATTTTTTTTTTCGTAACAAAATATTATACAAAGTCGATAGAAGGTACAATATCATATTACGTCTATGAATTGATTTTAAATTCGAGCAAATTCTTATACTTACTATAAAGTAATTGGAAAGTAAATGGAATTAGATTACACGACTAATAAACAGCAACAATGTTATAGAGATAGGAGATCGAATATAGTTTTATAAAATCGTTAAGATATCTAACTGCAATGTAAAAGATATACTGTTATAAAAGACTGCGTTTTGCCAGTCGCGCAGAAATTCTGAAAAAAAAAAACATAATAATAATTTCATACGAATTTTTATTTCTTTTCTTATAATATTATATTGCACCTGTGTAGAAAATTGTTCCTAGAAAACGAATATTTCCAATAAAAATGGCATGCATGTCGAATAGTAATGCAATAAAGATGTAATATAGTATGATATTAAGTACCTTGTATTATGTATTAATTTCTAATTCAGATTAAAATATTTTTCTTCTTCTTGAGCTTTTACGGTCCTTGAAGGACTTTCGCTGCCTCTACTATATTTCTTCATCTATCTTTATCCATGCTGTCTACTATTGTTACTCCTTATGTGCACTTGTTTAGATCATCGTTGACCCTATCTGCCAAGCGCTGTCTAGAGCGACCCCTAGGTCTTTTCCCACTGATCTTTCCTTCCAGAACTTTCTTTAAAATACCGTTTCAACTCCATACATGAACTGCCCACTTGATTTATTTACCTATGAGGTACGCATTGATACCGGGTTCTTGGTAAATTTGTTGCAATTCTCCATTAGTTCTTCTTCTGTATACTTCATTTTCTAAAATAGGTCCATATATCCTTCTAAACATTCTTCTTTCAAAACAAGCCATTTTTTACTCATCTCCTTAAGTAGTCGACCATGTTTCACATGCGTATGTTAAAACTGGTCGTAGGAAACTTGATTACAGGCGTTCCTTTGATCGTCTAGAGAGAAGTTTTAACTTAACCAATTTTCCAAGCATAGTGACTACCCTTATTAGCAACAGATATCCTCAGTTTAATTTCATTATGCATATTATTGTGATGGTTTATGTTCACCCCAATATATTTGAAAGTGTCCACTGGTTGAAAGGTATAGTTTTCTACTACCAGATCCGAGTTATCTCTTGTTCCCCTAGTCATAACCAAATATTTCGTTTTGCCCTGGTTTACTTCCAGACTCATTGACTTCTCTGCTTTTATCAAATCATCAGTTTTTTTCGTTGTATTCTTAGATTAATACATGAAATGAATATATGTAATGTATAGTAATGAATGTATTATGAAATAATGTGTTTTTATAGAATTTTTCCCGAAAATAAATCGCAATTTTGAGCTGGTTTCAACTTTCAAAAGACCATTCGTATGCTCAAATGTCTTATTTTTACAAAATACTCCTATAGACTAAAATGTAATAGAACTCTGGCAACTATAGCTATTTTAGATTAATTATAAAAATATATATATTGTAACAGGGACATATGCTGCTCATAGTTGTTTTTTTTCTCTTTTTTTTACATAAATGTTATTTGCAACGAGAAACTCATATACGGAAGTTGAACGAATACTTACTACCTACTTTAAAAAATAAATTTATCAATTGAAATCGTTTGATTTTTCGCTTATACGAAAATGGGTATAATAAACACACGTCACCGCGGTGTTTTTGACAACACTGTATTTTCGCAAGCGATGACGTCAAGGCCCTATGAGTTTATTAGAGGAAAATGTAAATAATAACATTCAGCATATTTAATATGTTAGGTATACCTCTAGATGTTTTATGACCTATCCCGTATATCAATCGCATACGAGTATATATTATACGTGGGGGCTTTTTGGGTGTAGAACTCGGATTGTAAAACATTGTGAAAAGGATGATCGCGTTCGCATATTTGTTTTAAATATTATCGTAGGTGGCAAAGTTATATAACAAGAAAATAATTTTCAATTAAAGTTAATTAAAATAAAAATTACGTTTTTCATATTTTATTCATACCTATTTTGTTGTGTTACTTATCAATTCATTCAACTTACACCGAATGTTGGTACCAAAAAAAATAATATGAAAGAAGAAGCAACGAGGATAATATAAATACACCATATATAATATATAGTATATACTAGGTAAGATATATTCGATTTTATTGGGATCAAACCGTTAGAATGGTTATTGAGCATACGCAGAGAGTAGATGATTGGCTAATTAAAAATATACTAGTCAACAAAATAAATAAAACAAGTCGAGCCTTGGGACGACCAAGGACCCGATTGCTTGACGTGTTTATCAAAAATTTAGAAATGTTATACTTCATCGGATGCAAATTATAAAGAATTATATTACTTAATAGGTACTAAATCAAACATGAATCATTTACGTTTAAAGCCCAGTTTAAAATCTCATTAAAAATGTAAATTCGTGTTTTCACCATAATAACCGAATAACAAGAGGGACAGTGAATATTTTTTAGTGTCTATAAAGATGTATAACCATCGTAAATAATTTAAAAAAAATTAAATCCACCTCTGCTGACTAAGTACGTGCTTATTTGTGGGAATCAAATTAAACCACACAAGACGGGCAAACCATAACCTGTAAACATAATTTTATATTATCGTTTTAGCGGTCTATATATCACCACAACCTTGGGTGAAACGGATTCTGATAAACAATGTCAAGAAAAAAACAAAACAAAATAATCGCTTCGACAGATCACTATCTAAATAATTATAAGCATACATACACCCAGTAACCTGATCAAAAAACAATATTATCTTTTAAAGTTATCATATTAGGTATAATATATATTGTGTTCGGTGCCACGAGAATAAAACGTTTAAATAAAAGTTGCTGACTATACATCGTGATTTTAACTATTATAGAGGAAATATAAATTTCAATTTTCTCAAGGAGGTGATCGTCAATAATTAAATGTTTTATGATATAATATATATGCAAAATAAATAGGTAACGTATTTTTCTCATATTTATATTGAAAAATCAAGTTATCTACGGAAAATCTTTACAGACTTTAAGTTATCCAGATGATATATCTATATATAAGTATGTCTAAGCTAAAAGGAACAATATCTAACTTCTAAGTTCAGGACGTATATACTTACAATTTTTCATAGTTTATTAATATTTGAAAAAAAAAGATTGTTCATTAGAACATAAAACAACACTTCGATATAATTTGTAGAGAACTCCACCAAGTCTAGAAAAACCTCAACATTTAAAATTTTGCTATTGAATTATTACAATCCATTAATGACGTGTATCGAATCGTGCATTGTATTTTAAAAATATATTTACTGCAGTCGTAAATTCTAAATGGAAACTGAAAATAGAATAAAATGAATTTATTTCTCTCGGCGGTATATAATACATTATAAATCTTTCAGATCTACATTTAAGTTAAAATAATAAACTTTTAGTTCGGCGATATTAGAAGATAAAAAGGATTAATGATTTTCTACAGTAGAAGTAACGATATTTTATAATATATAAATATAATATCCCTGTTAGAGCTTTACTGTACATTTTGCTCAACTTAAAAACGCATAATTCGCATTCATTTTAATCCAAACCAAAATAAAATTTAATTTTCCTCAAGTAATATTTGTGGTCCCAAGTCAATTTTGTCATGTTTTCAATAAAAGCAAATTAAATTTATAAAATCAACAAAATACTAAACGATTTAACCTAAATGTAGGCGTTCTAAATGGCTTAATTCGTATGGCTCATAACTTTTTTGCTAATAAAATGTACATTATAGTGGTTTAGGATATTTTAATTTACAGTATAACATTTGTTAGAATATACATATGCTATACACGTATGTACCTAATCTACATCAACAATTAAAGGGAACAAAAACACAATTATTAAAAAAAAAATTCCAAAAATGTATTTAAACTTTTCTTCCCTAGAACCAAAAATTTAAATCTTAATAATAGTTCCAATATTTTGTTTTTTAAATGACATAAAGAGTTTTTTATTTTTTTTATCAATCCTAAACACAAGAGCGAACAATATACACGTAATAATAATATATAAATTAATATAAATTAACTTAATTAATTTAATTAAAACATATATCCCGTTTATTTGACAGTACTTCAAGGTCATATTTGTTACAAGAAGATGATTACTCAATTTAATGCAACATCAATAATTGCAATACAATACTATATTAAATGTTTCCCTCGCCTATATAGTATACACTATACAGTGATAAATTATAAATTATCGTGGCGATTATTTTATGACATCATATAATATACTCGTAATTTCACTAGTGGGTACATTATGTTTATCTATATTGATTTGCAGTAATCAGTTTTGAATCAACTTATTAAAAAAAAAAATCTATTTTAGCCAATATACACGCCAATAAAATGTTCACGTTGAAGACGAATACAAATATATAAACTAGTTAATTTACAATAACAAAATGAACATGTAAACGGCGGACATATTTCGCACCCAGAGGGACGTAGCAAGATTTCTGGTAGAAAAGTTGTTTGGACACACAAACAAAAAAATGCACGTAGTAAAACCAATAGATTCCTCGCTACGTTCCGAATCTAGAATATCTATTATTTAATACGAAATTGGTTTTTGATGATAAAAACTAATCTCGAGAAACCACTAAACTGATATACTTGCGGTTTCCAATGTTATGAATTACAATTCTCCGGGAAGTCTACTTTTTAACCCGGAATTCAATCCCTAAAAACTATTGAAACTTTACATTAGAAGTTAGTCCTATAATTTGAAAATTAAAATATCTGAATATAATTTTCCTTCCCCAATAGTTGTAGATTAGTGAAAACCGTATCCAAATTTTCAATATAAGCTATTCCCCTCAAAACTCAATTTCACATTTATAAATAATAGGCAGATATACCTAAATAAATATGTAAGTGAAAACTTAGCCAGGAATATTGTTGGTTATTTATTTTAGTGAATTATTAATTATTATTGAATGATGTTTGAAAAATGAAACTGGTTAGGTTGAGTTTAATTATTGTAAGGGACGCTAATTTTGTTTAAGTCTCATAGTATACTTTTATTTTCCAATTTGAGCATTGTATGGCTAGTCTTATAGGTGATAAAATATTGGATTCAGAGCAATTTAGTATAAATGCCAAAAGCAACAAAAAATTATTGTAATGAAAAAAAAACAATTCTAAGCGGATTTTGTAGTTTTCCCATTTTAGCAAAGGTAACCAGGGAAACCCAGATATCAGCAAAAAAAAACCTTTTGTATAGTTATTTGTTTTTAACTGTTTTAGGAAATCGATTGGGATTCTAGAAGAATCGTTTAAATAAAGTGACACTGGTCGGAAAATTGAGGTAGAGCATATGCAAATCAGAACATTTGTACTAGCTGAAAAAGTGTTCGCTAAACTTGAGACGTAAAAGTAGGTATAGAAGTTAATAATGGAAAAATATTATAAACAACAATATGCAGCTGAGTGAAAAGTAATTTTTTTTAATCGAACCTAATTAATTATAATTATTATTTGTAAACACATGTATTCGAAATGACCGATAATGTATCAAGAGAGCAACGGCAATTTAAAATCGATTTGTACCAATCATAGATTATTTTTATTTTTGAGAACATTAAAATGTGACTATAATGTAAATATTTAAAAAAAAAGGCAATTATTTCTGCAATTATTAGTAATGACTAACTAGTTAGTATTATTATATTATTCGAGAAATGACATATTTTGCTGTGTGGACGAGGTATATATTTTACCTAATATCGAAAATACGCAAATATTTATCAACTTTTTTTTTGGGAGGGGGATTTATTAATCGTACACAATTTTTTAGTCAATCGTTATTTATTATAGTAATATTTTAAAAATACACTTTATCACTCGCGCCTTAATACGTAATTTTCACGAAAGGTACGTATTGAAAAATACTACGAACTATAGAGTAAGTACCTAAGGTACGTAGGTATTAATTTCAAAAATATTTTAGTTAATCATATCGTAACAGTACACCTGCAGTGGGACGTTTAATTGTTTAATAAATAGTAAATAATTATGTTTAACTATAATATGTATAGGTAGTAGTGCGTATAATTTCGAAGACGCGATATTACTTTATATGATTAATTAACTTAATTATAGTTGGGTACATTATAGCGTTATATATAGCACACGGGGACACTATGGAAATGATAAAAACGGTCGTTGAATATTTCATGTGCATTTATATTATTACATACTTTTATTACAATAATTGTTATTACCGAGCTACAACGCGGAAGGTGAAACACCTTCATACACGACGGTATTTATTTTACAATCAAATTGCCATTAATATAATCAGTTCTTTTACTTACAAAATTTGTCAAATTACGACACGAAATACGAGCGATTCGCAGTGGCGCTCACCAAACTCAACTGATACGGAATAACTTCCAGTGATCCGAAAATGATAAGAACTCGTTTTAAATTCGAACCTACCCAACATGACGTGATTCCACATAATAAATCGGGATTTGTTTTCGATCAGACTTCGGCTCGCGAATCGAGCAATTTTACAATCAAATAGGTACACAATAGTATTTACTATTTAGTATTAAAATATTACAAATTTAAATATTGATAAAGAAATCAAGCTATCGAAACTCAAATGTGAATTTAGTATCAGTTCAAATTTAATGCTCATATATTGACCAATTGACGACCGTAGACCATAATATACTTGATATGTTTTAGGTTTATTCTAAGAGCGTACCAACTCTTTACTTATTTCCTTGAAACAATATCAGGTTTGGAGTTCGGACGAGATTTTTAAGTTTTGAAATTGGCATTTTTAGATTTTTTGGCAATTTTATTTATATATCTTATCACCCAAGAAGAAGTAAGTGTATCCCAATCACTGCACCAGAAATTATTCGTGTGGGTTAAGTTTTGAAACAAATAAAAATAGTTTACAGCAGTTTACACACGTAATATGGCCTAAATCAGTTATTATACCAAATAAAACGGTAACATTTTCTTATTTATGTACATATATTAAAGGATATGTTAAAATTGTAACACTAACGCAAACTCGTGGAAGTCATCTGCACACGACCGTTTCCGACAGTCGAGAGATAAGATTATAGGGTAAATCAAAATTGTATTAATTTATTTGTAAAACTAAAACTGTTTAAATAATAATTATTATTTGTTTATGGTGTTAGTAAATAATGAGTTATTAAACTCTAAAAAGCTAGTAAACAGCAATAATAAAATATGAAAATCGTTTCCACTTTTCGATTGTTCACTATAGAGTATTAGGTATAGGTATACACTACACAGCCACAGACTTACAAACTTCAGCCAATTAACAGATAAAAAAAGCCGTCTAGACTAATAAAATAATAAATGGTCAAATTAAAAAAAAGAAAAACCTTTTTATAAATTCAATTAATATTTCATATTTTTTTTTTAAAACATTTTATTAGACAAATATCATGACAGAAAATCGTAAGTATGTACCTCAATAGAGATTTACAAACAAATATGAAAATTATTAAAGAGTAAAATAGCAATTTTTGTTCAAATATTTAAAAAAGTTTAGTAAATCTTGTTTTATCCTTTAATTGTTCTTTGGTGCAATACAATGCGCATTAAAAATGGAAACAAAGCAGCGTTGACGGTGAAATTTTTTTCTTTTTAACTAAGCAAACTCTGATCAATCTGTGCAATACCTACGACATTGTGATTAATCACTATACATAGGTAACGAGAATAATGGTGAAGATTATAATTAATTTTTATTAAAAAAAATAGCAACACCTAAATAATTATTTATTTACCGACAACCAGAGAGCTGCTTATACAGCTTTGTAATAGTTGTAACCCCGATAAAAAGTTGCAATCATATCGAAAAGTTTTTTCAGCATACAATTTCAAAAAAATATTCAAGCCTTAAACTACAGTTTATACATCAAACACCAAATTGAAATAAAATTATAAAATGTCAATTTGTTTTAGTTTATATATATATATAGTGACTTAAAATTCTATAGGTACCCATCAAATTTATTACGCAGTGTAATTCTCACGTAAAAACCGAACAGTTGATTAGGATTAAATTTGTATTATCACCAAGTAAAGGTACATTAACTTTGAATAACATAAGTAATAGCAAATAAAAATAATATTGGACTTTAACCAATATTTTAATATTTTATGAAATAGCAAAATACAGCAAAAATTGCAAAATATAATGTCTGTGATTTTCACACAAGTGGTTTTTAGCTAATGGAAGATTAACGTCAGGCTAAGTGGGCTGGAAAACTTAAGGCGGTAATTTTTGGTAATTTCGGCTTGTAAACATTTTATTGAAAATGTTGAAAACTTGTATAAAGAAAAAACAAAATAATTTTTAAAGATTAGAATACCTATATAGTTTTATTTTATTTTTTCATTGAAACTACGAACGGTGGAAACGGTGAAAAAAATTAACCAGAAAGCGGCAAAAAGTTGAATACCCCCACAGAGTTTGGCATGCTCGTGAAAGAGCAAAAAATTGAACAATATACAATATATATATTACACATATATAGAAAAAAAACCGGTTAGATTTAATAAATATAAACGTGTTATAAATTCGTGAAAAATTTTTACCCGAGAATATAATATATGCCATGCAAATGTCAGCGGTTTTTAGTGTATAGCGTAGTCAATATTGTTTGTTTTTTTTTTTTTTTTTGTAAATTGCGAATTCTATAATACATATTTTTATTGTTATATTTCAAAAAGTATATATATGATATGACATGAATGATGTTATGATAAACATTGAAATGAGATACCATAAACAAATTATTGTTTGACGCGTTTCGTTCTACCGATATTCGACGAGGAGAACAAGTAAATGAAATATTATAACATAATATTATGTTGTACCTATCTGTACAGGATTTTAAAACGAAAAAACGGTCCATGAAAACGCGTGTATTGAACAAAATTAAGGACAGGAAGACATAAATTTACCGAGCTATTTGGCCTTTGTTCATAAAATCGCTAAAATTGACGTTGACGATTTAGATGGCGCACTTCAAAAAGAGTTCTGCCGTGAAAATAAAATGGGGTACTTTGTTCTCACGAGTACCCTGAATCAATTTAATCATTGCAAAATATTAGGTACGCGATTGTGACATTTAGAATATTTATACCGGAGGGGAGGGAGGTAAACCTACTGGAAACGTGTTATATATGTATATTTTAAGACATATTTCGTGTATACAATATTAAAATATACCGAATATTTGAACAATTTAGTCACGCGTATAATTCATTTATTATAATAATGTGAAAAAAAAATACTCTGAACGTATATTTCAGTATAGGATATTTTTGTCTCGGTGTTTATCGTTTCTGATGGATAGCACTATCCAACAGATATCAAATAAACACCACGCCCTACAATAATTATTTAGCTATGGGTATGCAACGTAATTGCCTACGTAGGCGCCCGTTTTGTGGGACGTATAGCAGCATTACGGGCCCCACACGGACCGGCAGTATTTGGAGAGATGAAATCCGGAACGAAAAGAAACGCTAGAACGGCAAAATTCGGATTCACGTATAGGAAAAAAAAAACCGAGGAGCCACCTAACCTAACCTAACCGTTCGGGATAATACCGGCGTGCCGTTTAAAGTCCTTTCACACTTCACACGTATCCGTTCCGAGTCAGATCCAACCGGCCATCCGTTTTTTTAGGAATATAAACTTCTTGTTTTTCAACGTGTGCATTCACACTCGTCCGATCCGAGTCCTCTCCGAACATTCCGAGCTTTCTCCGACCAAAAAATATTGTCAGTGACCAATTTTCGTCCGAGCCGGTCGGTTTTTAACGGGCCGATGTCGAATCAGATATGTATGAACACGTTCCGACTGGTATTGGAACACACGGAAGTATTCATAAAACTTTGACTCGCCGTCAATAAGTCCAATGTACATTGTGAATTCACCTTCAGTTTTCCTTTTTTTCCAGAGATCATGAACCCACGCAGTTCTTTTTCGGTTTTTAATTGTTTTACAATAATTATCTTGTTCTTCATCGAGCAAAAGTGCCGTTACAATTAATTATTCGGCGCTAAATTCAGTCATGATGAAAATGCGAATGAAAAAAGTCTCGGCTCGGAACACTAAAAATCGGATCGCATATGCGTGAAAGGACATTTATAATCGAGACACCCGACCCGAGTATATTACTATATTATTGTTATCCGATCGAACGAGATACTTCCGACGACGATAATGTTGTACTATTAGAACAAAACATCGATTCGCGGAACGGGGATAAATATGATATTTTAATTTTCGCGCACGGCCGTCTATACCAATATAATATTATTATAATATCCGTGATTAACCACTGCCACGGTTTCCGATAACAATAATCGAAATTTAACGCCAACACATTATTATTGTCGACGTTATCCTAGGTAGGATAACCTACCTATCGCCTATCGTCGTACCTAATATTACACGGCCAAAAGTAAAAGTAGAGGGATAGCTGCTGGTACCGTGTACTATCATAGGAATAACACGCCATTGACTTTTCTTTCTTCTATTTTTGCTTCCTGGCTTTCACTTGCTCCGAAAAAAAAACAAAAATACAACCAACTACAATATTATTATCGCTCCGTAATATTATAATCGTTTTAACGGCGGCCTTTAAACGGGCGAATAACGGTCGACGATATTTCGATTTATCGTTTACACCTGGCGTTAAACTCCTAGCGTTTTTCACCTGGCGTTAAACTCTACGCACTTTAAGTTACGATAAACGGTACCTACGTTCGTATTCCGACAGAACGTTTACCACCTACCGATAATTTTTTTTTTTTCTCTGAAATTTCGACGCGCCGAATGTAAACCGACCCCGGCTAATACGCCCGCGATATACAATAGATAGTATATCGCAGGTTTTAATTTTGTCGTCGCCGTCGTACAGTAAACCAAATAACGATATCACTATAGGTATAATAGGTATCGTTGTTGTTGTTTTTTTTTTTCAAAACGAGTTAATGCCGGCGACAGGACCGCGCCAAAATACCTTATGCCTAATATTAGATTTACGATACGACCGATACAATCAGGAGGAGGGGGAAAAAGAAACTGGTTTGTCGGACGGTAGGTACAGAACCGCAACAACAACAACAACAACAACAACAATACATAAATAAAATTATCGTGACGGCAAAAAGAAAAGAAAAGAAATATAATAACAATACCAATAATAATGATAATAACGTCGCCGCCGGCACACACTACGCACAACCGGCCACGGCATCAGGGCGACGCAAAATTCATACCTACTTAACTGTTACAATACCGACTTTCCGGGGCCATAGCGGCTTTTTTTTTTTTTTTTTTATGAAACGAGACACTTATTACGAATAATAATTACTAATAATAATGTACCGTCTAATATTTAAGGAGGAAAAATAAAAAGTAATAAATGTATAACCTACCGTTAAATTCTTCGTATCCCCATTCGTCGGACATCGTTAATATGGTGGTCTGGTGCGGTGGCGCCTGTAAAATTTACAACAGTTGGGCGGGTGGGTTATTTGCCGTGTTCGGATAGAAGAGAAAATCGAAATGGCCAAAAGGTTTTTTTTTACAACAAATTAATTGATTAATATTTTATTTTTTTCAATCTCGTAGGAACGGCGCGAAAACTGGTCGGTACAGACGCCGGTTGCGGACTGTGACTATTACTTGGTGTCGCGTCCGGTCGTGCGTATTAGCGTAATAATGGTTTTGTACGGAAAACTAGTTGGCGTGCCGGCGTAGGTCTCGTCGCTCGCGTTTCGGGTGGGGGAAATAGTGGTGCGGCGCGGCGGCCGCGGTGAAGCGCGCGAAGTGAGTGGAGGTATTATAGAGCCGCGGTCGTCGTGACGCTACCGCGCAAGCGCGCGTCGCGCGTACCGTACGCGTTGTACCGCTCCCCTCGCCGCGTCTCGCCGCATTTCGTCGCTACTCGATATTATAACGTAACGTTCTACCACTCGATACTACTACTACGCGGCCGCTACCATACTGCGTTATCTTCGGTTTTTTTTTTTTCCTTTTTTTTTCGCCACGTGGAGAGGGGGACGAAAAAGCACGTGGCTCCGGCGCACCGGGCGCGTCCCCGCGAGTACGTTCGCGCGGCGACGGAACAGTTAACCGCACCGCCGCACCGCGGCCGTACTTTTTCGCCCAGCGACGGATTCCCCTCGCGCCGCCGTACGCCGCGATAAAACCGTCGTCGCCCGTCGGCAATCGTCGTCGGCTCGCCGATTCGCGACACGTTAATAATATTACTTATACTTATTGTAAAACGACCGACACAATATTACTATATGATCAAATAATCGAATACGACATTAATATTGCCATTATAATTATGGTGACCAAACGTGCTCTTTTTCGTAGGACAGTACTCTTTTTCACGCATTGTCCTATGTCCTTGACAAATAGTGTTAATGGTGTACATGAAATTGTACTCTACTTTTTTTTTTTTTGAAAATATTATGGGCTATTAAATGTTTATGATAGTTGATAATAGAATAATCAGATAAAAAAAAAATGTACATAGATGAAGATGAGCTATGGGCGAAATGGTAGAATAGTATACAGATTGGCCAATTCTTTCAAGGGGGGGGGGGGTTTATAATTGAGGACCTAAATTTTAAAATTTTTTTGTTTTCGACTATTATAGTTATCTATAATACTCGTCCGTGGTACGATACGCGGAAACTTTCGAGTTTTCCACTAACTGCAGTCGTTGATTATAAAAATCAACTTTTTTGTATGGGAGAGAGGAGAGCAGGTGTTTCGAATGTTGTAAAATACGCGACACTAGATCGGCGGTGCATCTAGAGTGCAAAATCTTGGGGGTATTCAAATTTTAAAACTCTCATAGCCGTGAAAGGCTCCGCACCCGAGCTCCCTAACATAACTAACTGTCAATTTTAACAAATTATATTTTTCATTATTGTATTGTGTGATACTAAATTTTTGATAATAATTTGCAATCGGTGAAAACATATTTGTTCAATATTTTTTCCGGGTCAATTTCATTCATTAAATATCTCTCAATGATGATACTATTAAGTTGGTAAACCATTGCTGTATCATACTAAGCCAATTTTTTTTAATTTTCGCATAGAAAAAAGAAGCCTGTTATCTTACACCGCGTACCTACATAGTACGCTGGGTGTTTGAAATAAATAATAATATAAAATAGGTAGATACCTATAGGCTATATATTTTATAACACGTGTGACAGTGTCCATAGCAATGAGTAAAATAATTCCATAAATTATATTTACGTCATAGATCGGATAGATAAGATAACAAACGTCGGAGGACGGCTACATTTGATATACCTTATATTTTGTTTGATAATACATTTTTAATATAATTTAATATACATATTGTCTAATAAATGTTTTTATTTTATCGTGACTCGTAGATAAATAAAAATATGATTTTAAATAAGGTTATGTTTTAATTTTTAATTGGAAATATCGAACATGTATGTAAAACAAGGGACAAAAAAGGGGACCTGTATCGCATAGGTGCAACTAGACCACCAATCTAGGGGGTGTTAAAATTATAGACACATCATAGAATATAAATCCATAGAGGCGATACTCCCACAGTCCCCTTTACATGATACTTATAATAAGCAACTGCACATATTATCTACAACTTTTATGTAAAAATATATAATAACTTTTTTAACTTTATATTAACACATGCATTGCCAGTAAGTAATTTGTATTTTGTTCTGCTTATTAATTATGAAATGCGTGGATAAAATATTTAGTTTATACTATAAAACAGCTTATTGGGTAGTTTTTGGGGTCCTAATTTCAAACTTGGAGTTGCTAAAGACCCTCTAGCACTCCCCTAGTTGCACATATGCCTGTATTCCACAATCCCCAAGCCCCAATTCTCTCTTCACGGCCCTGTCTATATCAAAACATTTCACGGTTTATATTCTATAATCCACGGTGCAAATTATTTGGTAAACAATTTTTTATTTATTCAGTAGATTCAAAGGTTCAACAAAGATTAATATTATTATTGTTATCAGTTCACATATTTAAATAACCCTTACCAACGGCGATGCGATGGTAGATCTGTGTGTCTATTGGTAGGCTTGAGACAACTAATTAGTTAAACGTTTTTGCAAGGGGCCACAGAAATAAAACTAGTTAAATTAGCTCGATTTATATAATTTTGAAGTTTTTGTTTATCAAAAAAAAAAAAACGGTGGGCGGGTGAGTCAAATATTTATTGTTTGTTGTCCGCACATGATACGACCCGATGACGTCCTTTTATAATTTGCGCAGAAGAAGTTAACCGGAAACAGGGTCATATACATAAACGAAGTATCAAGGTATGTTTTCGTTTTCAAAGACCACGCTGAGCCTTCCATCCCACGCGAGAGGGATAACAATATTATGGGAAAAAAAACAAACCATGCAATATTCACCGTGTCACGTGCATTTTCGCTGATAATAAATGAATTAGTCGTTGGTTCCCTTTTCGAAATTGTCGTCCGGGGACGCCCTTGGATAAAGTGATATGTTATTTACCGTTGTAAACATCATCGCACTGTAAATTTATTGTTGTCCGTGTGTGTACAACCGATATCAAATGCATCATTACGCTGCGAGGACTGTACAAAGAGCGATGAGTAATATTAGGTAAGTATAAAGAAACCGTGACGATTATTTTATTGTTATTTTTTTTTTTTTAATATCATTTTTTCAGGACCATTACCATTTTCACGTCGAAAATAAAATATTTCTAGATAATCTTCCTACGAAAACCCTGCACAATCACATAATTGTATTATATCCCGACGACTATAAATCTTATACTACCGATTGACATCATCAGACTATAATCGTCAGTAATTAAAGTACCAATTAAACATAGCGCACACATAGTTTCGTAAACGAAACGATTCTTCTTTTCCCATCAAATAGTAACTACCTATATAATATTATATTATCAACTAAAAAACCTATAGAAAGAATTCCACTGAAAAAATATTAAAACTAAAAACCCGTTTATATGGTGTATATACGATTTAATTTCTAACAGTCAATAAATTATTATACTCGAATTATAAATTTAAATCTATTTAACACTACGTGTAATAATATTTTTAACAAGTTAATGATATTTTTTAACTTAGTTAAGTTAAATAATTTTGTATTAAATTAAAAATCAAGTTGAAATATACCATTAACTTAATTTAACTTCAATTAATAAGTTAAGTAAATTCAAAAAAAAATAATAAAAAATTCAGTGATTAAGTATTTAAAATTAAAATACCTAATTAAAGTGAATGCAATTATGTAAATATGGAAAATTATCAATGTAGGTATGTATTTTAAAACCTGTGGAGTTATAGACTTGTAGCATTTATAGAACTCAAATCATAATTCCGACTCAGCTAGGGATCACTTAAATTTAGATTTGAGTGTACAATTAGTTAATGTATTATTTAATGTTAATAATTTATTAATTTACAAAATAAATAACAATAAAGTACAAAACAAACTACCTATTATTTATATAATTTTATTCAAAATATCTATTAAATTTTAACACCGGATAATAGTAAATAAATTAAATAAATATATAAAAAAAATATGTATACATAAAAATAAAATAAATGAATGAATCAATGCGTCGCCTGGAGTATTATGATAATTGTATTATACGACCGGATTTGAATGAAAAATACATCATCAGGTATATCATAATCAAAATGTAAAACGCGACTGAATACAAAAAATTGATTAAAAGAATACATAGAAAAAAAATTTACAAATTGGTTGTTTTACATAGAATATAGAAATAATTTATTTTAATAGGAGAGATTATTTAAAATTAGTTATTATTAGACATAGATATGTTAGGAATATAAATTATTTGGTTATTATTTATTATCTAAAATTTATTGATACCAAATATTATTTTTAAAATCAGTTTATACATATAAAACATTACTAAAATTATTTTCCTTTATTTCATTGTGTATGTGTAGTTCTTCTAAAACTGAATTAATGTAAATGTTATTTTGGGTATTTAATATTTCTAAGTCTGTATTAATATCAAAACTTTTATCTATGTCTAATAATAACTAATTTTAAATAATCTCTCCTAATAATACTCCAGGTGACGCTTTGATTCATTTATTTATTTTATTTTTATGTATACATTTTTTATTTATATATTTATTTACGAGTATTAATCATTTTAATAATTTTGTTTTTACTTTATTATTTTGTTAGTTAATAGTACCAATAGTAGCCTAGTAATATCCAAGTAGGTATTATGAACATTTATGTTTTTATTATTATATCTGTATATATATACAAAACGAAACTTTTCGTAAATATATTTATTTTTTTTCTAATAATACTTGATGATTTTCCACATTTTAGTTACTCTTTGAATTTCAAATATTTTAAACAGACAACGGTAATAAATAAAATATTTTATTGAACATAGGAAAATTCAAAATTAACTTAATTGGGAATTGTATAAACAAATTAAGCTGATTTCAAGTTAACGTATAGAGGCAAATGATTTAAGGTGATTAAAATAGCAAATAAGTGACCTAAGTTAATAAGTTGAAATTAACTTGTTAATGCCTAACCTTGATTTTTAATACAATTTTTAAACAATTCATTTAAAAAGAATTATTATAATATAGATTTATGTACGGAGTTATACAGAGTATCAAAAGACATCACGAATGTATTCGGTTACAACAGGTGAGAAGAAGTACTATGATGTTTGCAGATGATATAATTTTTCTATGAGAAAATCT